AGACCAAAGATATTAATTTATATAACCTATAGGGAACCTCTCCGTGTGGAATAGCAAATGTAGCTCACCCCCGTGGGAAAGCCCATAGGCATGTGGTGGCACGCAGGACGTCAAACCCATGAATTTGGTTCTCCCATGGGAGATCAGGCCTGCATTATACCCAGGCTGCTTTGTGACTTGCTCTTGCTAAAACTCCCTCACCCAGAGCTGAGGCAGCAAATGCTTACTGCATATCTTTAAAGCAGCTTCCTGAAGTCTGTGCTAATTCTCCGAAGGACTGAAGTGTAACCAGACCAATTACTCTGATGGTTCCCTCGCATTTGCAACATTTTTTTCTTGGTAATCTGTAAGAAGTCATCAGTAACATCTTTTCCATTGCTATCTGTAAAAAGTAATTACTTAAAGTAAACCTAAGCATAATGAACGAAAATCTTCTTTGACATATACTATTAGAAAGCCAATAAAAGCTTGCCAAGGCAAGGGTCAGGGTGCTCTCCCCTTGAAAGACTGGCCGTGCTATTCCCTTTTTCTCCACAGGATTTGGTAGTCTGGGTGAATTTGTCTTGTCTCATCCATAATGCCTCAGACACTGCGGGTCAGTGTTCACATCAATAACCACAATATAGTTATCATACTTGGGACATTTAACATGGACATGATAGTATTATTATGAACCATCCACATTTAAATTTTCCAGTTGTCCAAGAAATGTCCTTCTTAATACATTTCCTGTCCCTCCCCCCAATTCAGGATCATCCACTGCATTTGAAAATTATCTCTTCTGTCTCCTTTAATCTGGAAAAATTCAACCTCTCTTTCATATGTTGACACTTTTGAGCACAAGCTATTTATATGTCTCCCAATTTGCATTTAGCTGATTGTTTCCTCATGATTATGCTCAAGTTATACACTTTTGACAAGAGTATTTCCTTTTTAAATAAAGAGGAGAAACCAAGGAATATAATAAACTCAATTTTATTAGTTTGAATATTGGATATTTATTTGATAAGGGAATAAAATTCATCAAGTTCTAAATCTAAGAAATTTTAGAATATAATCAGAGATATTTTTTTAAATTTTGCTAAATTGTACTTGATGCCTAGAAAGCCAAATTACTATTTTTTTAATTGTTACATAAACAACATTTGAGTAACTACTGTGTTTGAGATACTACAGAAGGCCCAGGACTCTGTTCTGTTGTAGATTAAACATGCCATTCAATCACAAATATTGATAAACAAGTTTTTAAGATGATATCTTTAGAACTCTGTCAATAAATAATTAGGGCTTGATGGGGATAGAACTGTAAACTCATAAAAATTCCACAGTACATAAATATTAAATAAATAATACATTCTAAAAAATGTCTTAAGTAGTTTTCATTCACAGCTGCTAGAGTATCTTCAGTAGATGATTGTTCTCTAAAAAGCACTGGGCTTTCGTGTCTTCACTGTCTTCCTTGTGACAGAAAGCTGTCCCCTTGTGTCATCTTGGTCAACTCTGCTTTCCAAATTCCTGCTCTTCATGCAAAGCCCAAACCTGACCTAGAACCCCTTCCTTCAGAACCTTTCCATGCCCTCCCACCAATCTGCATGCTCATCTTAACAGATTGGGCATCTGTAATAAAAAGTAGTGAACTTTAATTGGACATATTTAAAAAAATTTTTTCGAATTGTAAAATACACATAAAATTTACCATCTTAACCATTATTAAGTATACAGTTCAGTGCATTAAATATATTCATAATGTTGTGCTGTCACCACCATTCATCTGATCGATCCAGAACCCTTTTCATCTTGTAAAACTGAAACTCTTACCCATTAAACAATAATGGCCACCCTGGCTGGTATGGCTCAGTGGATTAAGCGCCACCCTGTGAACCCAATTGGTATGTCTCTTGCATATCAATGTTTCTCTTCTTTCCATCCCCTAAAAATTAATAAGTAAAATCTTTAAAAAATAGTAACTCCCCATGGCACCCACCATCCTACTTTCTGTCTCTAGGACTTTGGCTAGTCTAAGTACTTCATATAAGTAGAATCATAGAATACTTGTTTGTGACTGGCTCAGTTTACTTAGTGTAATGTCATCCGATTGCAGCAGATTGCAGCATTTCCTCCTTTTAAATGCTGAATAATATTCCAGTGTATGAATAGACCACATTTTGCTTATCTGTTGATGGACATTTAAGTTGTTTCCACTTTTTAGCTATTGTGAATAATGCTACTATGAACATAGTTTTACCAATATCTCTTTGATACCCTGCTTTCAGTTATTTTGGGTGTATACCCAGAAGTTTGTTGCCTGGATTATATGGTAATTTTTTTTATTTTTTGAGAAACTGCCAAATTGTTTTTCACAAGAACTATACCATTGTACATTCCTACCAATAGTGCATGAGTTACAGTTTTTCCACATCCTTACCAATACTTGTTATTTTCTGGGGCTTTTTGATACTAACCATCCTATTGGGTATGAGGCAGTATCTCATGGTTGTGATTTGCATTTCCCCATTAGTGATGGTGAGCATCTTTTCATGTTCTTATTGGCCATTCATATTCTTTAGATTAGCTTACTTGGTTAATTTCTAAGTATTTTATTATTACGTTTATGCTATTATAAACGATTTCCTTAATTTCCTTTTAAGGTTGTTCATTGGTAGCATACAGAAACGTGACTGATTTTTGCATGTTGACTTTTTATCCCACTACTTTGCTGAATTCATTTATTCTAACAAATTTTTTGGAATCTTTAGTTTACGTATAAGATCATATCATCTGTAAAGAGATCATTTTATTTCATCCTTTCCAATTTGTATGCCTTTTATTTATTTTTGCTAGAAGTGGCAAAACTGGGCATCCTTGCCTTATTTTTGATTATAAAGGAAATGTTTTCTCCACTGAGTATGATCTTCATTATGGATTTTTCACATATGGCTTCTATTGCGTTTCCTTCTTTTCCCAGTTTCTGAGTTTTATTAATCATAAAAGGCTGTTGAATTTTGTCAAATGCTTTTTCTGCATCAAATGAAACAATCATAGTTCTTTTCCTGCATTCTGTAATACAATGTGTTACATCAATCAATTTTCACCTGTCAAAGTATCCTTTTATTCTAGGGACAAATTCTACTGGGTCATGGTGTATATTTTTAATTTACTGCTGAATTTTGTTATCTAGTATTTTGTTAAGGATTTTACATCAATGTCCATATGGGGTATTGGTCTGTACTTTTTTTGTAAGGTGTTTGTGTGGCTTTGGTATCAGGGTAATGCTGGCCTCCTAGAATAAATTAGGCCTCCTCTTCAAGTTTTTGGAAACAGTTTGAGAAATATTGGTATGAGTTCTGCTTTAAATGTTACAGTATGTAAATGGAATTGTCATGTGAAGCCACTGAGTCCAGGGCTCCTCTTCGTTTAGAGATTTTTTACTACTAATTCAATCTCTTTGGTAGTCATAGGCCTATTTAGATTTTTTTCATTTAGATTTTGTTTCTTCATAACCTGATCTTGGCAAGTTTTGTTTCTAGGAATTTATCCATTTCAGCTAGGATATACAGTTTGTTGGCACTATTATTAATAGCATTCTCTATAATGCTTACTTCTATAGAATGAACAGTAATGTCCCCCACTTTCTGATTTTAATAATTTGAAAACTTTTGATTTTATTGGCTTTTTTTCTCTAGTTTTTCCACGATCTATTTCATTGATCTCTGCTCTAATCTTTATTATTTCCTTCCTTCTGTTACTTATGGATTTAGTTCTTTTTCTTCTTCTCTAGTGGCCAAGTTAGGTTGTTGATTTGAGGTCTTTTTTTTTTTTGAGGGTTTATAGCTATAAATTTCCCCATTAGTACTGATTTTGCAGCATCCAATAAGTTGATATATTATTGTTTACATTCATCTCTAAGTATTTTCTGATTTCCCTTATTATTTATTTCATCCATTGGTTGTTTAAGAGTGTGTTGTTTAATTTCCACAGATTTTGGAATTTTTCCTGTTTTTTTCTACTGTTACTGATTTTTTAAATAAATTTTTATTTATCGACTTTGGATAGAGGAAGGGAGAGAAACATCATCTTATTGTTCCATATATTTATGCATTCTTTAGTTGATTCTTGTACGCGTGCTCTGACCAGAGATCAAACTCACAACATTGGTGTATCAGGACAATGTTCTACCCAGCTGAGCTACCTGACCAGGGCCTGTTATTGATTTGTAACTGCATCCATTGGATCAGAGAAGATACAATACTTTGTATGACATCTATCTTTTAAAATCTATTGAGAGTCCATTTGTAGCCTAGGACATGGTTTATCCCAGAAAATGTCCCATGTGTACTTGAGAAGAATGTGTATGCTGTTGTTGTTGGGTGGAATGTTCTATATATTTTGGTACGTCTAGTTGTTTTAATTTGTTGTTCGTCTTCTATTTCTTTATCTTTTGTGTAGTAGTTCTATCCATTATTGAGAGTTGAGTATTGAAGTTTCCAACTATTAGAGTAGAACTGTCTGTTTCTCCCTTCAGTTCTGGCAGTTTTCGCCTCATATATTTTGATGGTATGTTATTATTTGGTATACATTTTACAAATGTTTGACCACCTTTATTTTTTGGAGGACACCTAGCACAGTGTATGGACTGTGTTAGGTCATTACTGTTCATTCTATAGGCCACTAGAGACTGTATGTCAGTAATTATTTCATTAATTCATTAATAAGTACTATATTTTTAGTAGCAATAATGATAGAAAAGGCCAAGTAGAGAAGTTCTATTTTCTGAAAGGTGATGATACACAAAACCTGGTAAATTTCTTTTTAAAAAGACTTTCAAAGAATCTGTAGAACCTGCAACCTGTCCCACAGAAAAAATGTAAATACTGAGAGGTAGAAGTGTTTTACTTTATATTTTTGGCATCATCACCATGACATTCCAGTAAAATAAATATTGCCGTGAAGTTGATTTAAATACCTGCTGTATTCACTTGTTTCCATTTTTTTCCCTCAAGCAATCAAGTCGAAGCAGTGTTCCCACTACTATATTTATTCAGCTGTTCCAATGGGATTTTCTCTTAGTAAATCTGCTACTCAAGTATCTGCTATGTGTATGGATTCAAAAGTGGATAATCACTTAAAAGGGACTGAGAAAAGCAAGTTGGAACCAGTGACTCAGTTATTTCAAAACATCAAGAAAATAAAATTAGAAGACACAAACCAAGAAAACTTTACAAGATGTAAAGAGACTGGCACAGGATCTCTTTCAGAGAAAACCTTAGGTTCAGTGGTTTATGTTAAAGAAAGTGATGGAATAGAAGTGACAGATGTGGAATGAAGTTATTTGTACCTAAAACCAAAGAAACCGAAAATCGCTTTTGACTAAGAGGGCATGTTGAATAAGAAGTTGACCTTACTAGGAAAACCTAACAAAATGAAAGAAGATGATCGATTTTTTTCACTGTTTATGAATCACCTCAGACTATATTTTTTGATGATGCATACTCAAACTAGTTACTTTAGGGAGTTACTTTAGAACTTTCTAAAATTCAAAGGAAAAGTCTCTGGTATTACATTCTATCCTTGTCATAATTGGAGTTTTTTGAGTAACAGTATTTAAATGGCACCAAAACGTATTAATTAAATATTTAACAAGTGATCAAAAACACAAAACAGTGCCCAGTTTGACATCAGTGTGTCACACTACTTCTTAGTGTACCGATTTTTTTTCTTCCACATTGGATTCATTTCAGAGCTACAAAATACTTATTTCAATGTGTAATAGTTTATCTTATAGATGCTACCACTTTATACCACCAATATTTAATATAATAAAACAGGCTTAAAATTCTTATATATCATTTTGCCATTCCTACTGGCAATACTGAAATATGTATTAGTTTGAAATAGCAGGAGTTCCAGCCAAGATGGAGGCATAGGTAGAAACCCTTCGCTTCCTCGCACAACCAAAAGGAGGGTAACAACCAATCTAAAATCAATAAACAACCAAAATCACCAGAAAATCAAACTGCATGGAACTCTGACAACCAAAGAATTAAAGAAAAAATCAACCAGAACCAGACTGGTAAGGCAGCAGACTGAATGGGCCAACTCTGAAAAATGGCGGCAATGCAACAGCCTTGGAGGTGTGGCTGGGTGCTGAGTTTGGCGGGCTGCACAGGAGGGGCTGACTTAAGGGGACTCGGCTGACTGTGGGCTACTGTGGGGGGGGGGGTGTGGTTGCCTTGGTGGGAGATACTCCCAGCCTCACACTAGAGTTGAAAAGTGCACTAGGGACAAGCAGGCAAGCCACACAGTTCCCTCTCTGGCCGCTCCCCCACGGGCAGCAAAGAGGGTTGCCCTGCCCTGGTGAATATTTAAGGCCCCACCCCCTTACAACCTAAGAGCTGGGCCAAGACAAAGAAATAAGGCCCAAATGAAAGAACAGAACATAACCTCAGAAATAAACGATGAGGAGATTGCCAGCCTATCTGATGGAAAATTTAAAGCCCTGGTAATCAAAATGTTTACAGATCTGATTGAGTTTGGTTGAAAAATGAAAAAACAAATGAAGGATACCCAAAGTGAAATAAAGCAGAATGTTCAGGGAACCAACAGTCACAGGAAAGAAACCAGGACTCAAAGCAACAATTTGGAACAAAAGAAGGAAATAAACATCCATCCAGAAGAAAAGGAAAAAATAAGAATCCAAAAAAATGAAGAGAGACTAAGGAACCTGGGAGAATTTGAAACGTTCCAATATCTGAACTATAGGAGTGCCAGAAGAAGAAGGACAACAGCAAGAAATTGAAAACTTATTTGAACAAGTAATAAAGGAAAACGTCTCCAATCTGGCAAAGGAAACAGACTTCTAGGAAGTCCAGTAAGTTCAGAGTGTCCCAAAGAAGTTAGACCCAAGGAGGAACACAGCAAGGCGTATCATCATTAAGTTACCCAAGATTAAAGACAAAGAGAAAATCCTAAAAGAAACAAGAGGAAAGGAGACAGTTACCTACAAAGGAGTGATCATAAGACCATCAGCTGATTTCTCAAAAGAAACCTTGCAGGTAAGAAGGGGCTGGAAAGAAATATTCAAAGTCATGAAAGGCAAGGAACTACATCCAAGATTGCTCTATCCAGCAAAGCTTTCATTTAGAATGGAAGGGCAGATAAAATGCTTCCCCATAAGGTCAAGTTAAAGGAGTTCATTATTACCAAGCCATTATTATATGAAATGTTAAAGGAACTTATCTAAGAAAAAGAAGATAAAAAATATGAACAGTAAAATGACAACAAAGTCACAACTATCAACAAATTAACCTAAAAGAAAAGAAAAACAGCAAAAACAAAACCTAAGCACAAACAACCTGAACAGGAACAGAATCAGAGAAATGGACATCACGTGGAGGGAGTTCTGGGGGTGGGGGTGGGGGGAGGAATAGGAGGAAAGGTACATGGAAGAAGAAGCATAATTAGTAGGCATAAAATATATGGGGAGAGATCAAAATCGTATAGGGAACAGAGGACTCAAAGAACTTATATGTACAACCCATGGACATGAACTAAGGGGGGGGGCGGGAAATGCTGGAGGGTTGGGGTGGAGTGGGGATAAAGGGGGAAAATGGAAAAACTGTAATAGCACAATCAATAAAAAATACTTTTAAAAAAGGACAGTATTGTCTCAAGTAATATTAGATATAATTAAAACCATTTTGTGTCTGGCCATATAGTGAGCTGTAACTATATTTTGTATGTTTTGAACATTTTCCTTTATTTTAATATTTAGTCACTATTTCTAATGCCCAATTGAGTAATCTTCATATTCATACAAAAGAAAGAGAAAAGGGCATCTTTTTTTTTTTAAGATTTCATTTCTTTATTTTTAGAGAAAGAGAGGGAGGGAAGTATCAATGTGTGGTTGCCTCTCATGTATCCCCCACTGGGGAGGACCTGGCCTACAACCCAGGCGTATGCCCTGATCGCAAATCAAACCAGTGACCCTTTGGTTTACAGCCTGCACTCAATCCACTGAGCTACACCAGCCAGGGCAAAAAGGCATCTTCTTTTAAGGGATGCAATATTTTATACATCAAATTGCACTAAACAAATGTAGTATATTTGTAGGGAATATTGAGCCAAGAGTTTAAAAAGTCATTGAATGGGGACATAACCAATAAGATGATGCTTTTTTATGATTTACAGAACATAACTCTTTGGGAGAGAAAAAAATACACAAACCATTCATTTGTTCATCTAGCCTGGAACTGTGCTTGCTGCTGGGGATATAGTGGTAAAGTAAAATAGCTGCTGCCTTCATAGTGCATGCTGTCTGGTTTATCGGGGAAAATAGAATATCAGATAGTAATTATGTAAAATACAAATTATTATGTGCCATGAAGAAAAAGTAAAATGTTCAGAGAGACAGAAGAGGAAACATAATACATATACTTGATTTTTAATAACAGGAACTAGAAACTTCTCTGAGGACATCACATTTATAGCCTTTGCTGTGATGTGGTGGTCCAAATGAGATGATGGTGATGGTTGAGGTGTGAAGAAGGGGACAGTCCAGGTGAGCTTTGGCAGGACATGGTGATGGTCTGAAAGTGGGAAGTGTGGCAAAAGAAAAGGTTTCTAGCAAAGAAGGCTAAGTGCATGAAGGTTCCTGGGAGAAAAGTGTGAGCTCTTGAGCACAGTTTTTGGGACATACTAGGTTTCCAAGGCAAGTAGACAGTTGTATGTATGGCACTAAAAATACACATTTTGAAGTCATGTACAGAAATGTTATTTAAAGCCATAGGAATGAATGACATTGCTTAAGGTGAATGTATATTTTGAGATCAAGCCCTGAGAAACCCCAACATTTAGGAGCTGGTCAGTACAGCAGGAGCTGGCAAAGGGGACTGAAAGTTGGCAGTGAGCTTGGTGGAAAACCAAGATGGGACAGTCCTTAAGGTAGAGGTAGTCAACTGAAAGATGAGATGATCTAACAAGAATGTCACCAGTGACTTTACCAAAACCAGTTTTTTTTTCTTTTTTAAATAGGGCCTTGGCTCAGATATTTATTTAGACTGGTGTTTCATGTCCACGTATGTCCAACAGGACATGTTATATTTGTGTTGGATGTTGAATTTGGGATGATCCTTTTCGTTGTTGATTGGTTAATTTTATAAGATGAAAGTACATTTTAATGAGGGAAAAAAAACAGTATTGAAGGCTAAGACATTCTTAGGGTACTGGGAAGAGGAATTCCTCACTTCTTCCCACTTCCCTGGCATAGTTGCGGAGGCAAGGTGACAAGGTTTTCTGAACTTGGAAGGTATGGGGGTCAGGGATGCTTGCCTCTGCCTGAATGTCTCTCCTCAGGGGCTTCCTGTCTGCCAGTCGGTTTGTTTCTGTGTGCCTCTCACCTACCTTCGGCATCCTTGCCAGAGTCCCCTATGGAATGCAGCGATGGTGCTGTGCGGGAGGCAACAGGGCACATCAGCTGGCGAAGAGATAGGTAATGGTGGTAGCAGCAGCCATGAGAAGGGGCAGAGGAGTGGGCAAGAGGGAAGTAGGGAGGAGGAAGAAGGTAAGAGGAAGAAAGCCGAAGAAGGTGATGTAGCAGGAGTGGGGGAGTTGGGAAATGGTCTTCAGTCTCTCGGTCTCCATCAACTCTTGTCTGGGGGTGGATCTATGTACGCTTTGTTTTTCTTCATACTGTCTAGGTATTCTTGTTGGGACACTGCCAGCACTGATGCTAGGATTTCATCATCATCCCAGTCATTCAGACCAATGCCTCAGCCATTGAGACAACAAAAAATACAATCATTAATTACCTTCATTGAGAACCACTGATGCTAAGATACCAGGAAATTGGGATCCCCAAATCCCATCCAAGGTATAGGTTAGGCAGCACACCTGGAAAGGAAAATTCACAAAGACTTTCTGAAAGGGGTGGAATAGAATGAGTTTAATCAGAACAATAGCCTCACTTTGTTTCTTGGGAGAATTCTATAAGTGGAATCCTCAAGTGAGCACTTTCAGAGTTCTACTATTGTTTCTAGTAAGTCAATTTTCCATATTAAAAAAATGTAGTACAGCAGAAATAAGGATGGTAGGAAACTTTAAATTCAACATCCATAAAAGAAGGGTATCTAGACCTATGGTATATGCATTGTTGTTGTAACTAAAGGTGGTGTCATTGATGCTAATAATATATATAATTTATTGAGCTGGTATGTGACTGTCTTAGCTGAGATTGCCTAGAAGCTGCCTGAGACAGAGATTTAGGTGCACATGACTTTTGGGAAAAGCCTATAAAGGGGTGAGGAAAGCAAGAAAGGGAAGCAGAAGTCAATTAAGGATGAGGACTCAGATAAATTCTTGCCCTGATCCACAGGTGGCTCTGGAGGGTTCACACTACAAAGTTGTTCCACTGTCCCACTTTGAGGCAAGGGGACTATTGTACCCTCATACCATTTGGGCACTCTTTGCTCACCTCCACGTCAGAGTGGGAGGGAGAGAACATAGGTATGAATCACTCAGGTGAGCAGGACAGCTCCTACACTCAGAGAGCAGCTGGAAAATGAATGCATGGATTCAGGAGGGTAAAGGGCGCCTGGGTAGGAGTACTAAGTCTTTATTACTATGCCAGACATGTAACATATATTATTTTCCTTGTATTTTGAAACAATTTCATTTACAGAAAAGTTGCAAGTATGGTACTAAGACCTTTTTGTCTCCCCACCCCAACCATTTGAAAGGATGCAGCTGACTTAATTCTCCATAAATGCTTTTTTAATAATTTAAAGAATTTATTTTTATTTTATTTTTAATTAAAATATAATTGATGTGACATCACATTAGTTTTAGGTGTCAACGTTTTACATGTGTCTATATTGCAAAATGATTACAGTAAGTTTAGATAACATCTCCACACAGTTACCATTTTTTTCTGATAATAACTTTTAAGACCTACTCTCTTAGCAACTTTCAGATATACAGTACACAGTACTGTTAACTATAGTCACCATGCTTAAGCACTTTTGATGAAATAATAATGATGGAAGCCATGTTGGAGTAGGTTGAAAAACGAATGGGAAGTGAGGAAGTGGAGACAGGATGTGTATAGCAATACCATGAATAAGCTCAGCTCTGAAGTGAAGTAGACAGAATAAAAGGTAGAAAGGTGAAGTCACTGGAGGATTGTGAATATAAGATGGAATTCATGTTTAGTGCCAGTAAAAGAAGGTTCTAGCAGAAAAGAATAAACAAGGGAGAAAAGTTTCACAACAGGGAGAAGGGAATAGGTTTCTTGAAAACCACCTCGGTAGGAAATTAGGGGGGAAAACTACCATCTCAGATTTCAGAGAAATGGAATTTAGAAAGATGTAATATAAACAGACTGCAATAGTTCTGTGTAGCTATTTTTAATAACTAAGACAATTCCCACTGGGACCAACTCCCCAGAGTCCATTCCCATATGTAAATTACCAGAAAGACTAACTCAGAGTGACTTCAGTCAAAAGAGTAATGAATAAATGAGGAGCCGTGTCTCTACTGCAACTTTATATGGAGCTCTGGTCGTGAACAGTATCAGCATCACCTAAGTGTGAACACTGGATGCTTCTTTTTGCAAGATACAAGTCTTGGCAGTTTCTATTCTCACTGAAGGAGAAATTGATTTCCGTTGAAGACTGAAAAAGAGGACCACAAATTTTGGCAGCTCCTTTCACCATACCTTAACTCTGCGCTTGCTTTGCCGTTGCTTTGGCCAATAAGATGTAACCCAAGTCATACTTCCAAGGCCAGGCCTGACCTGAGGTGCCCCAACTGCAGGCCAGCACCACATGTCAAGGGTGTGAATAAGGCCATCCAGGACCTCCCCACCCCACTCAGCTAACCCTTGCTGACTAAAGCCACACTTATAAGCCCAGGTGAAACCAGCAGGGGAATCACCAACGTGCCCATATAAATGTTAGAAATAATAAATAGCTGTTTTAAGCCACCAGTGGTTGAGGCACGTCATTATGCTGAAGGGAGAAGCCCTAGGAGACCTTTGCTCACCCAAGACTCCAGGCGCCCTGGGAGAATAAGGCCGTCTGGGGAAAGCAAATAGCAGGATAGTCACAAGGACTGGGGCTAGCACCCCCACAGATAGAACTGATTACCGCATTCCGCTTCTGTATCCCCCGCTTTGCTACATAGACAGGAAGACCCCTAGGCTATATAAACCCCAAGAATCCTTTGTTCAGGGCTCAGAATTTGGAGATTGACTCCTCTCGGCCCGTGCACGTTAATAAACCTCGTACTCCAGAATCCCTCCGTGTCTGGTTGCTTCGTTTTCCTCTTAACAATGCAGCAATAGTTAACTAAAACTTTGGCTTGCTCGGGTAATTTCCCATCTGGATGAGCCACAAGGATTTTCGTCCCAAATACAATAAGGGACACTCCAAAAACTAACGTTCATTTCGCCTCCCTGTGTTTTCTGACTCACTCCTTTTACCATCTTTGTATGGGGAATACAAACATTTATTCCTTTAAATGCAATGTCCTCACCTTCCAAGTGAGTTATCTATTTTTTGGACTGTAAAGAGGAGATCCGCTGAGGACCCGAAGCTCAGTAGAAGTACTTACTCAGCACTCGGGCCTGGACTGTGGCCAGGGTGCCCCGGGTTTCTGGCGGACTCCCTAAGGCTCCCTCCCCTCCAGCCTGACAAAGCTGCCCCTCCTATCTTCGCCCCGGTTGCCCTTAGCTGTCGCAGCCGCAGCGTGAGCGCCCACTGCGACTGGGGGAATCAAAGGCTTTTGGTCGTGCATTCCTATCCTGCTTTGAATCTAGTTCAGCGCTGTGTCTGCCACTCCTAAAGTTGCTCAGAAACCCCGCGGTGTGCCCAATCAGGCCCCCTTCTTACTGCGCAAGGCAAAGCCAGGTCCCGCCCCCTAACGCTACTTCCGGGGCGGTGCCGGGGTCGTGGCCGCTGCGTGCCTTTCTTGCACGGCGGTAGTAGCGAGGAGTCCGGCTGCGGTGGGCGCCCCAGGAAGCAGCAGGTAGGTTACGCGAGAGCGGCGTAGCTCTCCGGCGCAGCGAGCTGGGGCGGGCGGGGACCAGGGGCTCCTGGGCCAGAGTCTGCGCATTGGTGCTGGAGGTTCCGCAGTTTGCGCACAGTCCTTGGGAGTAGTCAAATAGGATTGGAAAACGTTTCTCGCCTATACTGGAGGGTAAAAAAAAACGTGTTGGGTGCCAGCCGCATCCATGTCCACAGAGAATCGAAAAGGCAAATTAAAACGTGCACACGACAGTCTCTGGGTAAATGATGCCCTGTCAGGATGGCGGAATAACTTAGAAACATTTTTATTTTTATTTTTTAAAGATTTTATTTATTTATCTTTAGAGAGGAAGAGAAGGAGAGAAACATCAATGTGTGGTTGCCTCTCGTGAGTCCCCTGCCGGGAACTGGCCTGCAACCCAGGCATGTGCCCTCACTGGGAATCGAACCGGGAGTGGTTCGCAGACCCGCCCTCAATCCACCGAGCTATGCCAGCCAGGGTAGAAACGTTTTTTGAAGGACCTGGGCCTTCAGCTCCAGCTAGGTGGATAAGTGGGGCTGTAATTTTTTGCTTTCTGTTCGGTGATGAAGCATGTTTGGCAATGCATTGTCCCCTGGAGCGTGGAAATAAGATTGTCCTCTGAGAAGTAGAAAATTCATAATTACAAGGTGAGAATAGAGATAAGCAAAGTTAGTTGAAAGAAACAAAATTTCAACAGGCCTTCAAGAGTTGGCTATTTACCACGAAAGAAAGACTGTCATTCTTTGGAGGACCTATCTGTTACCTGAAGCATGGAATACAAGAGAAGTGCTCTTGTTGCAGATGAAACCAAGCCTCCACTAGGAGAGAGAGGATGTCCTGGTTTTAATAGCAGGGTCTCTCCAGAGCCTAGAAGTTATAAAGGTGGTCTCCAAAGGGGTCAAACGTTGAAATCATATAACTCAGCTCTTTTGCTCAGATTCTGTGTGCACCAGAATAAGTTGGACAGGCTGATCGGAATATCCGGTTGACAAAATCCTTGACTGTCTTTCACTCTCATTCAACCAAGTATTGTAGATTCTCCATGCTTACATCTCTAGGTGATGTCTCTGGCATATAAATCTGATCTTCCTACTTTCTTGAAACTCTTCAGCACCTCTTCTGTGGCCCTCAGGGTAAAGTTAAGCATTTTACTTGACTTTATAAGTCTCTTCATTATCTGACCTATATGGCTCCCACCTCATCTCTTGGAACTCCTTGTTCTTAAGGAGTTGCTGGTACTCTTAAGTACCAGCAGTTTTGTGTATCTTAAGTGTCAGCAATGGAATTAAATTCTTTGGATGAGTCTCTTTTTTCTGCCAAGCTGTTATACATTATTGTAATACTTTTCCATACACCTTTTATATCCCAGCTTCAATGTCAGTTACACTAATTTGAGAAGTAGATGGCCTTCTAATGTACGTACCCTATTGCACTTGATAGTATTTAAATTATTGCTTTAATTGCTTTTTAATATCTCCCCCTATATTGTGAGTTCCTTAAAGACAAGAAGTAGTCTTTGACCTTAACTGTCTCTCATATACATCCCCTTCTTTATGTCTGGTACCCTAGCTCAGGCCCTTATTATCTCTAGCTTGGACAACTGGTCTCCATGCCCCTGCTCTAGCTTTTCTTTATTCCACGCTCAACAGTACTGGCAGTGATAGCTCTATTTAATGCCTGGCTTAACACCTTCCTGCTTAAAATACTTCAGTAGATTCCAGCTGCTTTTAGAAAAAGTCCAGATGTTTTAGAATTACATGAATTTATCTCCTCCCCTTCTCTATTCCCTTACTACCTTGTGCCTTGTAGGCACTGCATAAACATTGGTTGCGTGAATGAGGGACTATATCAGACTCAATCAAACAGAACCAATAACAAAGGGTTTAACCAAAGCAGTGCAGTCTAGCCACAGAGACTTCCTAGGGCAGCACAGCCATAGGAGACTAGTAGTGTAACTCGGCCTCTGAAGAGGGAGCCCCAAAATATGCCTTATTATTAGATGACTCCTTGTCTTTGCATATGCCTGGAATATGCTACTCCTTTCCACTTGATCGATCTTCATCAGATTTCAAGATAGTTTAAATATCCCTTCCTCTATTAAACTCTCCTGACCTTTTGGACAGAATATAAATTGGTTCAACTTTTCCATAGCATAATTTATCAAAATATATCAAGAATGATGAAAATGTGAAACTCTTTAACCTGGGAATTGTACTTCTAGGACATTACTTAACTACAAAAGAATTTGGCCTGGTTATGGACCTTAATAATCCATTCTAACCCTGGCCGGGTGGCTCATTTAATCGGAGTGTTGTCCCAAACACCAAAAGGGTTGCAAGTTTCCTGGTTAGGGAACATACCTAGGTTGCAGGTTCCATCCTCAGTCAGGGAACTTAATGGGATGCAACTGGTTTCTCTCATTCTCACATAGATGTTTCTTTCTCTGTCTGTCTGTCTCTCTCTTTCCCTTCTTCTCTGTAAATCAAAGAACATATCCTTGTAAGAGGATTTAAAAAATTATAATCCATTCTACCCCAGTTCTTAAGCCTAAAGAAAAATTGTGACCATCCAAAAAAACAGAATTGGCACAGAATGGTTTCTATAGAACCATAACTAGTCAAAATACTGCATTAGTGCAGTATTTCAGCATTTTGCCACTTAGTAGTTCATCATCACTGCTAAAAAAAAAAGTGTGTAAAGCATCCAAACATAATAAAATTGTTCTTAGCCTTTTCATAAAACGTGCTACTCAGATTGCCTCTTCCCTTGGCCTCAAGGTGTCCGTTATAATCTAATATTGATCTAAATAAGTTATCTTGCCAGGAAATCATGTCTCCAAGTCAAATATATACTATTTTGAAAGTATTACAAGGGGATAATCAAAGCTTTTCACAGAGTCCTGGCTGGTATGGCTCAGTGGACTGAGAGCTGGCCTGCAAAGCAAAGGTTTAATTCCCACCCTAGGGCATTCGCCCGGGTTGCAGGCCAGGTCTCCAGTGGGGGACATGTGAGAGGCAACCACACATTGATGGTTCTCTCCCTCTCTTCCTCCCTCCCTCTCCTCTCTAAAAATAAATAAATAAATAAAATATTTTTTAAAAAAGATTTCCACAGAGATGTTCATGAATACATTGTTGATAACATGGCAAAACTAGAAATAACCTAAAATTATTGCATTGGCTAAAAAGTTCATTGTTGAGTTTTTTTGATAGTGTCTCTAGTAGAGCTTAGTTGTCTTTAACTTTATTCAAAACAATTTTGATAGATTGTATTGTTACAGTTGTCAGTGTGCATTTAAAAAAAATTTACCAAATTGGTGAACTTTTGTGTAGCCATGTTAATATTAAAACATTTTCAGCATATTATACTTTATTATTTCAAGAAAAGTAAAAACACAGCTGAAACACACACAAAAAATATTTGTTCAGTGTATGGAGAAGATGCTGTGACTAATCGAATGAGTCAAAAGTGGTTTGTGAATTTTTGTACTGGAGACTTTTTTTTCTTGTTGTGCAATTACACTTGGCCTCATTTACCCCCACTACTCTCTCCCACCTTACCCAAATCCCACCTCCCATATTCAATCCAACCCCCTGCCATCGGGGCCCTCCCCTCCACCGTTGTCTTTGTCCATGGGTCCTTTATGCATGTTCCTTGATGACCCTTCCCCTGCCTTTCCCTGTTATCCCCTTCCCCCCTCCCCTCTGGTTACTGTCAGTTTGTTCTTTATTTCTATGTCTCTGGTTCTATTTTGCTCACTTGTTTGTTGTTGATTAGGTTACACTTACAGATGAGATCATATGGTATTTTTTTCACTACCTGGCTTATTTCACTTAGTAGAATGCCCTCCAGTTCCATCCATGCTGTCGTGAAGGGTAGAAGTTCCTTCTTCCTTTTCTGTTGCATAGTATTCCATTGGGTACCACAGCCTTTTGATCCACTCATCTACTGATGGGCACTTAGGCTGTTTTGTGCTGGAGATTTCTCACTGGACAATGTTCCATAGTCAGGTAGACAAGTTGAAGTTGATAGCGATCAAATCAAGATATTAATTGAGAACAATCAACATTATACCAGGAGGGAGATAGCAGACATACTCAAGATACCCAGATCAATAAAGTTATTGGTGAAAATGAAAATTGTGTCTTTTATTTTATGGAAGAAAACCATATGGATTTTTTTGCCAACCCAATACAAACTAATAGATTGATTGAGTAAACTGTGGTACATCTAATAATGGAATAATATTACAACATTAAAACTAACATAAAAACAGATATAACATTGAATGAAATAATAGTATGACTTCTGTGGGGTAAAGTGTGTGTGTTACACATGCTTAGAGAAAATTGGGTACATACTGAATTGTTCATTGTGATTATCTCCTCATGATGGTATGGAGCCTTTTAAATTGCTCTTTTTGCTTATCTATATTCTCATTTTTCTCAATGAACATATGTATTACCTGGTTTGGCTTTGAGGTATATTATATAATATATTTGCAGATTTATTGTTTGAAAAATCTTCCCCCTTATTCCCTTCCAAATGAAATTATTTGAGGTTTGTCTATATTTATTTCCTTTGAGTACTCTGTTGTAGAATTGCTCAAGACGAATGGTAAGCCTAAAGGCAAGAATAACAGCTATCCTGGATAGAGAATTAGGTAAGTTTGAATTAAATAATCAAGAATTGATAACTAGAAAACAATTTAATTTTTCCTTTTCTCAATCAATTAATTTGTTTGTCTTCCATTTTTAAAAGCATGCTGATTCCATTTTCAAAGAAGAATTGCTTCCAGTTACTTTGTTACCTCAAGGTCCCAGCAACTGGCTTTAAAAACACAGTAAAAAGGGGGCTTATTTTACAGTCAGTTTCCAATGATGTTTACCAAAATCTGGCTGTAGAAGACTGGATCCATGACCATGTGAATCTAGAAGGCAAGCCAGTCCTGTTCTTTTGGAGAAATTCTCCCTCTGTTGTAATTGGTAGGCATCAGAATCCTTGGCAGGAATGTAACCTGAATCTGATGAGAGAAAAAGGTATAAAACTGGCTCGGAGAAGAAGTGGAGGAGGAACAGTTTACCATGATATGGGTAATATCAATTTGACTTTTTTTACAACTAAAAAAAAGTATGATAGGATGGAAAATCTAAAATTAGTTGTGAGGGCGCTGAATGCCGTTCAACCCCAGCTGGATGTGCAGCCTACCAAAAGATTTGACCTTTTACTTGATGGACAATTTAAAATCTCAGGAACTGCCTCAAAGATTGGCCGGACTACTGCTTATCACCACTGCACTTTGTTATGTAGTACTGATGGGACCCTCTTGTCATCTCTGCTCAAGAGCCCTTACCAAGGGATCAGGAGCAATGCCACTGCCAGCACACCTTCCTCAGTAAAAAATCTGTTGGAAAAAGACCCCACTCTGACCTGTGAAGTGCTGACAAATGCTATTGCTGCAGAATATGCTGCTTATCATCAGATTGATAATCACATCAACCTGATAAACCCAACAGATGAGACACTGTTTCCTGGAATAAATGGCAAAGCCAAAGAACTACAAACCTGGGAGTGGGTCTATGGCAAAACTCCAAAGTTCAGTGTAAAAACTTCCTTTAATGTGGTATATGAACAGTCATACTTGGAAATTAAAGTATTCATAGATGTAAAAAATGGAAGAATTGAAATCTGTAACATTGAAGCACCAGACCATTGGTTGCCACTGGAAATATGTGAAAAATTAAATTCTAGTTTTGTTGGTAGTAAGTTTTGCCCAATTGAAACTACTATGCTAACAAATATATTACATAGAACATGTCCAGAAGACAATGAACTATACAATAAATGGAATATTCTCTGTGAAAATATTAAGGGAATAATGTAAATGCAAGTAAATTTCTTAATATTGGCAGATTAAGTAAGAAAATAAAAATTGCAGTGTACATTATATGTCTCTTAAAATTAAAAGGACCTAGCCTCTTTCAGTAACTTCTCCCCATTTGATCTATCACCTATCTCTGTTTTTTCTACTGGCCTCTAGGATGCTCTGTCTCTTTCCTCATTGGTTTTAATACCTAGCATTCATTTATATTTCAGCTCCTGCTTCTGTTATCATCTTAAGAATGTTTACCATATGGGACAGTCTGACTTTAGTTAGTTCTTTTTCTTACCTCTGGAGAACCCAAGCCAGGCTTCTTGCCACCTCTAATACCTTAAAGTCTAAAGTTCTCCCTTTTAGCTATAATCTTATCCTCTCATCCTGTCCCACTAAATCAAGCCTGTTTTAACTTTTATAAGCCCTGGATTTTCCCTAATCTCTTGCTTCATCTCCCTTCCTGTTCTAGCTTGAATTATTTCAATTCCATTGCCCTTTCTTACCAGCATTCTCATTTGCTCTCTTGACCTACTATAGCCACCTTTAAAAAAAAAATTCCAACAATTGGTTTTTCACTCCTGTGCTCAGAGGGCAGGCAGTGGGGGAAGAAAATTCACATAGTTCAGAGTAAACCAATTCGTATTTACAACTTCCAACTTAAATTTTTTTATTTCTGTTAGTGTCAGATTGAACTCATTTGTTCACATTTTTCAGAGGCATTAGTCCCACATATTTCCAGTCTTCAACTCAGAATTCCACTACTTTTGTCACAAACATTGATTCATAATTTGAGAGCAGAGACCTTTAAAAATTAGCTCTTTTAGCCTCCCATGTTCTATATTTCAACATACCTCATTTCATCCAGTCTCAGAAAAAGAACTTTTCCTTAAAGTTAATCCCTCTTAATTCTACCCTAGTTTTTTGTTTTGTTTTTTGTTTTTTCCCTTTCCACTCTGAGTTTTGTACTATCAAATATTCATCTTTTTTTTTTGTATTTTTGTTACAGAACAGGGCCAAGGAAATACAATATACTATTACTGAAAGGAACCCCCCCCCAACTAGGTTCACTTGTCTGCAGCTAGAGGAAAGCTGTCTCTCAATGCCAGAAATTTGTGAAAAGGAAATATTTATTTACAGCAATACAGACTTAGTGACCTAATGTCTTCATTAAAATATTAAAGTCCTTTAGGACACCCACAGATGCACACAGTCCTTCCTTCTCCCTCTGCCCTAGTCTGGGGTACCGTATCTCAGGAAAAGTAGTAGACATCTGTGATTCAAACTCCTGACACCATCAGCTGTGTCACCATCCAGGCAGGATCCCCAATTAATCCAGTGTCACGTGGCACCTTCTCATGGCCCCCCAACAAAAGTCCTTGCACCCTTCTTCCAGGCAAAGTCTCTCCTGCTTCCTAGGCCACGTGGCCAAAAGGAGCACCCCAAAGCCGCATGGTCCTCTTCTACCAAAGCTGCAGGGGTCTCCGCTCTGGCAAAAAAAACGCATGCTTCTCCCCCAGCAAAGCTTCAGGATGGGGGAGGTCTCCACTCTGCCAAAACTGCTTGGTTCTCCCCTCAAATGACTGCTTTGTCTGGGTTTAAATCCCCATGCCAGTCCTCCTCTGTACCCCCATTTCCAACGACTCCTACAGTTACACCTGCCGGCATTCCTGTATTATTCCAAGTTTACTGGGCTGCCATAGTGAGTCTGGGCAGGTGTGGCCCCATGTCATGGAGCCAATCTTGTCCAAGCTCTCATACAGGTGTGCCCCCCAGTTACATCTTGCACGGAAGTGCCTTCCATCCTAGCTCAGAGCATGACCACAGCTGTTTAAAATAGCTATGTAACCAGTTAAAGGTTATAGATATGTTAAATGACCATGCCAGAGGTTAGCTGCAAAGCTGTTGCTGTACAAAACAGCTCTGCATGTTCCTGCTCCATGTGTCCCTTCCCCCAACTCACACCTGCGGGGGGCAAGGGGTGAGGACATCCCTATATATCTTTCTAATATTTCCTGGACACCTTGAGTTCTGGATGCCATTCCAAATCCCTACTTGGGGGTCCCCTCTTGGCTTCACAGCTTCATTTTCTCTCTACTTTCACTGTATCCTTACCCATAGTAAATGATCAAACAATAGATAACAATTTCAAAGAAATCTGAGGGCTTAATCTGAGTCAGTGTCTGTCAGGTAAAGGTTTTGCAACCGCAAAAACTTATGTCTCCTTTTCCCCCAAACTCTCCTGCTCATGGTTTTACTCTATCTCTTCACTGCCAAACTTCTTTAAAGAGTAACATCACTCACTGCCAACCATTTCCTGTCTCTAAAGTTCATTCAGAGACTCCATTTATTCCCAGACTACTTACTATTCATTTATTGAGTGCCTGATAGGTGCCAGGTGCTTTGCTAGTTGGATATTCGTCATTAGTGAAAAACACATGGTCGCTGACCTCAGGAATCAACGGTTTAGTGTACTGGCTTTCAAACTTAAAAAATGAATAAAAATATGTTTTATACTTTGCACCAGCACGCACACATTATGTCTCTAACAAGTTCATAATACAATGTTTATCTTATATTTTATATTCAACTTTATTTCATTTTTAAACATAGAATTTATAATCCCATTTGATAGGTCAATATCTGAGTTTTAAAAACTTAAGCCTTATGGGGGAAGTAGACAAACTTATCAGAAAATAATTACAAAATGAGAATAGTTTGAAAGAAAAGTCCAAGTGGTTATAATAGATAATTATAGGAGCTAGCTAGAGCTATCAAGATGACTTTGAACCTGAGACCAGAAGAGTAAGAGGAAGGCAGCCATGTGTGGGGGAAACTTTGCCCGCAAGTCCTTCCATCCACCTCAGATGAAAATAAAACTACCAAGACATGATCTGCTTGGGGAGGAGAGGTGGTCAGTCTCAAAGGAGAAAGACCAAGAACCCCTTCCTCGGTGGCTTTTATTAGGTTCATAATACACAGGAATACAGGTAAAGCTCATCAATCAATGTCAGGCAGCAAGGATCAAACAACAGATAACATTTCAAAGAAATCTGAGGGCTTAATCTGAGTCGGTGTCTGTCAGGTAAAGGGGTTGCAAAAACTTTGGGAGACATACACATTTCCTGCTTGGACCCTTACATGAATGAAAGCACTCTTAGCAAAGCAGGTCTTTATGAATTCTTTCTTATGCCTGATCACCCCAGAACCCGCTCTGGGGTGTTTAGCCAGCAAAGGACTGCACTGCCCTCCCTGTCATAGGTTTTTAGGCTTAAATAGATTAGAGCCAGAAAGCACTTCTCCAAGAAGGAAATGGGGACTCAGGCTGTGTCAGAATAGCTGAGGAATGAGGGTCCATCACCATGTCTTTGCTGCAGCCCCCCGAGTCCTTCCTTGAGAGCCTCCCAAGTGGTCATGTCTGGCTTAGGTTGCCCCGCCCCCTGAGGGGTCATACCCATCACTGACTAACCAAGCAAGCATTGGAGGCCAGAGATGGATGAAGCAGAAGCAGCGTTCCTGCCAGGGAGATAAGCTTTGTCTCCTTAGTGGTTCACAGTCCAAAGATCACTCAGCCTTATCCATGGGGGGTTTACAGCTCCTTAAACCAGGCAGGGCGGTTCCCAACAGCCATGCAATGTGAAGAGTATTCCAGGTCTTACCAGTTACCTATTGCTACAAAACAAAGCACTTCAAAACGTGGTGGGTTAAAACAGTAATCGCTTATCATGGCACACTCTACCCTCCGGCAATGCCTGCTGGTGCTCAAAAGATTCAAGATACTCATTCACTTAGAGATTAGAATACTCTGTCCTTCAGGGAAAGTTGGTCAAATGGGACTCTGGAAATCAATAGAGGAGGTACAACAAATTTGTAGGGAGTTAAGAATGAAACAGGCCATCTATATCCCTGCCTGAAGGGATATAGATGACTATGGCTCAATCAGGAACTGTCTGAAGTCCCTGATTGAGCCATAGTCACTGCAGGAGTGAAAGCCAAGATACTTCAGTCCATCCCCAGCACCACACATGGGCCATTAAGCTCAGTATTAGGGTGACATCTTTGAGGTTGGACAGTCCATTGATGATATGGGGAAAACTGACAGATCCTAGGAACACGCAGACTATGGGAAAGACTCAAGACAAAATTCAGGAAGCCAAATGGTTATCCCCATCTGCTTTAAAGGGTCCAGTGGAAGTAACGTGAAGCAAATGTGGTTTGACATCATCCCTGTTGGGATCCCACCTGAAAAGGCAGACCAGCCTGTGAGAAGCCTTAAAACCTGAACAGACCTGCTCCTACCACCCCTAGTACCCTGCCTGCTCCAGCAGAAGCCTGATATAGTCCTATTTGGGATGGGTACCCCCATGTCTTGGGTATAGGACACAGACCAAGATTACCTTCAGGGGCTATTTGGGGCAATCGGAGGCCCCATTTGAACTCACTGGTCCCCCAGAAATAAAAAGTGATGGCTCTGGTTGATACTGGAGCCAAATGCATTTTCATACATTGTAACCCTAAGAAGTTTTCTGGCCCCTTTAATGCCATCAGTGGTTATGGAGGACAAAGGTTTATGGCCAGGAAGATCCCTTTGACACTGCAAATTCCCCAAGAATATGAGGTTTTTATCTCTCTAATACCACATAACATATTGGGCATTGATATTCTACCAAATCTAACTCTGCAAACCTCTATTGGTGAATTTAGCCTTTGGGTCAGAGTAATCAAACCAGTGCTGAGAGGAAATGCCAGCAGGCAATCTATAAGTCTCCTGCTGCCACTAACAGTGGTAACTGTCAAACATAATTGCCGTGGTCAGGGGTAAGGAGACAAGAGCATCTACTTAAGAACTGCACCAAGTGGGTATGGTACACTTGCCCACAGTGCTTTGAACAGCCTAGTAAGGACTTCAAGTGAGGGTTCTATATACACCTTGGTTTGTGTGGACACATCTAGTTTGTTTATTTACTTGTTTTTTATTTATTTACCTTTAGAGGGGAAGGAAAGGGAGAGAAACATCAATGTATGGTTGCCTTTTGCGCGCCCCCCGCTGGGAACTGGCCTGCAGGGAACCAGCCTGCAACCCAGGTATGTGCCCTGACTGGGAATTGAACCAAGATCCTCTGGTTCACAGGCCTGTGCTCAGTCCACTGAGCTACACCAGCCAGGGCTAGTTTAACCCAATTTTTCCCTTGTCCCTATACAAACCCAACTGCTACCATTAGAAGATAAGAGAAGTTGAGTACCATGTACAGAGATCCTCATAGAACAGACAGTGATTGAGGTCACATTTCAATGGTCATGATGTGCAAGATTGGACAAAAGAACATGACATTGAGTGGAGGTTCCTATACCCTATAATCTACAGACAGCAGGGCTGTAGAAGAATGGAATATTAAAGCCACAGATGAAATTATTAATGGGTAAAACCACCTTGGTCAGGTGGACTAAAGTACTGCCCCAGGCTTTAATGTTTGAATAATTAACCAGTAGAGCCTGTTGACCCATATGCCAGACTGTGGACCCTGAAGTTGAAGTGTGAATGGGTGGTGAAGAAATGGGGAAAAAAAACTGTATATAAAACTCCTTTAAGAAGTTTGTTCATGAGGAGTAGACAGCATGGTTATCTGCATGGAATATGTGCATTGCGGGAACAATCCAGTGGAGAGGAGACCGCTTGAAGTACGAAATCCTTGGTAAGGCTAAAGGAGGTGAGGTCAAGTTCACATGCTGAAACTGTGGCAAGCTTTTTTATGTATTAGCATAAATAACCCTTTTTTACATGTTATAAGTTTGAACTCATGTTTTTAATACTTTTATGGTTCCTTTACTCATTTTAAATATTTACAAAATGATCGAATCTTTTTGCCCTTTCCTTGATAATTCCTTGTTTTTGTATTGTGCTTAGTACATTTAGTGGGTTTTTAAAAATTGATTTTTCATTTAATTAGCACATTAATCCAGTTAGAATAATTTTTCTAGGCAGAGTAGAGAACTAACATTATTTTTCCATTTACTTATTTATTTATTCCATTTATTGAACAGTATATTCTTTCTCCACTGATGAAAGACTTTATTGTATGTTCATTTTCTCAGGTGTGTTTCCAGACTCCTTATTCTATCCCACTGCTTTGTCCATTATTATGCCCAGATATTTTTAAACAGTTTTTGTAGCATTGTCTTCATAGCTTGTCACTCAAGTCTACTAGTGTAGTCTCATTTAACATTTCATTTACAAATTAACTTAGGGAGAATTAATATCTTACTAACCCTTCCCATTCAGCAATGTAATTTGTCTTTCCAGTTATTCTAGTTTTCTTTTATATCCTTTCATAAAGCTTATTTTTTTAAATATAGTTCTTGCATATTCTTGATATGTTTAATTGATAAACTTGCACCTGGTATCCTCCTGGTAGTCCAACTGCATCTGGGAATAGAACTTCAAATATTTAGAATAATGGGTGGCATCTCTATAGTCTCTCTTCCTTAAATATCCTTCTCTTAGGCAGGGTCTCTATAAGAGTTGAATAGAAGTTAATTTCACAGGGTTGTAGATTGCTGGTTCTCTAGTGACAGATCCACTTGCTCTAAAAATCAGAGTTGTTATTTTAACATGTCAATAAAGGAGAACTAACACATATTCTCACCTGAATGAAAAGCCACTCTACTTCCACATGAGTATGGGTATCTGGCAAAGTAAGCCAGGATCTGCTGCAGAAAGGAACTTTGGATCAGGTCCAATATTTGTGCAAGTGCTCTCCTGAGATCCCCAATTTCCACACTAGACAGATTAAGCCTCTCTTAAATGGATGAAAATGGTCTTCAATTCGTTGGTTTTTTGTTGTTTTTTTTTTGAGCCTGTCCTACCTAACTTTCCAGTGAAGGCACTCTCCACAGAACTTTATTTGGCAAAACTAGTTTGAGTATCTTCAGGTTCAGCATAATCAGCACCTGAACCTTAAAACATCCAAGAAAAACATCAGAAACTTTTCTGGAAGTCTTTCTTGTTTGCCCACAAAGGCAAAACATAAACCTGGTATCTAAAGCCACCCAGGACTACTCTGCTCAACCTTAGTCCCATGGCTTCCTTCCACATGGTTTTGGTCTTCTACACTATTTAATATTCAGTTTAATCATCAGTCTTTTCCTGATGTGTTTGTATGTGCACTCTCCAACAGCAGTACCTCTATTGATCTCTACAGACTCTGGCTTAGCTTATTCTTTAGGCTTCTGGACTATTGCCTCTACCTGTATCCACTCTCCAAGTCCACTCTCCAAGTCCAACTCCATGGAACCTAGTCTTTGTCCCCAACCCCTCAACTGGCATATGGATGAATGAGCTTACCCAGAATAGTTCATTCTAAACTGTGGAGCTTTATGAATGTGCCAGCCAAGTTTGAATGAGCTGCAAAATATATCTGGATATCTAAACAGGTTGATTTGCCTTTATGGAGTTAGGTAATATTGGATAACAGTGTTGGTGAATGTCTGCCAAAGACCTTAAATCATAACAAAATTGATATGGTACTTTTTATTCCTGGATATTAGACCCACAAGCTAATCTGTTTCCTAAGACAGTGGTCCCCAACCACCCGCTCTAGAACCAGTCTTCAGCTTTTTAGGAACTAGGCCATAAGAAATGAAGCTCACAGCCTGAGCTCAACCTCCTATCCCATCCCAACCCCCCCTTCACAAAACTGGTCCATGGTGCCAAAAAGGTTGGGCACCACTGTCTTAAGAGTACTCTTATCCATAATTTTTCTGCCTAGCCTCTAAATTCCCGGGGGCAATATTAACATCCAATTCATCTTTATAATAGGTGCTCATTATTGATTCATGTTCCAACAGCCAAGTAAGAGAAAAGCTAGTAAAATGTTTAAGTTTACCATATGACTTAAAACACTGTAATTCTAAGTAATATATTTGTAAAAGTATTTAGGGTTGGTCACAACTGAAACAGTGGATCCATAAATTAGTAGAAATGTATAAATTTATTGTTAAAGTCACACATTACAGGAATGATCTGTCCAAAGGAAAAAAAAATTCACTCAAAATAAAAATATACAATGTAAATAAACAACTACCCATCATATTTTTTTGGTGTACTTGTTATGAAAAATATCCACTGTTGTTTCATGACATGGTCTTAAATCAAAGTCACAATATCCAAGGGAGAAACGACTCTAAGAAGAGAAGAAAAGAGGTTTTTTTTTAAACAAAAAGAACAAAAGCCATGTTGTTAAAATGATACAAAAAGAGTGCTACCCACTCGTATGGCTATATCCTACCTGTGGTTTCTTAAAATAATCCAGTCCCCTTCCAATCTTAATCACCCATCCATTGTCGAACCTATTGAAATTAGTATACAGTATTATATTCCAGGCAGTTATGTAGACAATAATCAAAGCTGTAGGGTATGAAGTGTCAGCAAATCCTCCCTAAGACAAATCATTTCCTCCAGCAGAATGAATTGAACCAAACCTGGAGCAAAATGTCCACAAAACAATGGGTTGATTTAATTAGCTGATACAGTTTAACAATCACATTAAAACTTACTCTTGAATTTCAGCTTGCTGATAAAACTTCCTGGTTGCCAATATGTGGTTTCAAAGTACAGTCAAGCAGCCTATAGTAGTGTTTCAGGGTCTGTCCTACCTAGCAATGGGTAAAGTAAACAGGAAGGGCTCTGGATCCTGACCTCTCCTTCAACCACAGCAGCTGCATTTTCATGTTTTGCATTTAGGTTGTGCTTAAGTTTTCACTAAAACTGAGGGCGCCATTGCTATAAATGTAGGAAAGCCACTATGCTAAACAGAGGAAACATACCACTAAAAATCTGCACATATTATTTCCTCATAGACACAGCATACTGTCACACCTACTAGAGTATTTTACAAACTAAGTAAAGCCACATTAAATAAATATCAGTATCACCAGAAAAGGAAATAAATTCCCTCAATACTATAATACAATATGTATAGTTGAACAGACAGAAAGGAATTTTCTATTTTCCTTTCTGTCATACAACATGTAAATTATATTCCATTAGGAAATATGAAACTCACATACAGGACAAAATAAGCCAGACTATTTTCCTTCAAAAGTGAAAAGATACAATAATTAAGCTTTATTTAAAAACTTCAATATTTAGACACTTTGCCTCCTCACACATCCAAAAGGAGGACAACAACAAATTTAAAAACAAAAAATAACCAGAAATTCTAGAAAATAGAACTGAATGGAAGTCCAACAACCAAGAAGTTAAAGTAGAAACATCCAGATGGTAGAAGGGGCAGAGACAGGCAGCAGGGATGGAGTAGACTCGCAGCAAGGCAGCAGCTGGAGGACAAGGCAGTCCCACATTCATGTGCAGATAAAATGGGAGAAACACTGGTCAGTGAGACAGACTGAGCAACCCAGGGTTCCAGTGCAGGGAAATAAAGCCTCAAAACCTCTGACTATAAAAACCTGTGGGGGGGGGGGGTGCAGCAGTGGGAGAAACTCCCAGACTCTCAGGAGAGTTCATTGGAGAGACCACAGGGTCCTTAAAGGTACACAAACCCACCGACCCTAGAATCAGCACCAGAAGAGCCCAATGTGCTTGTGGGTATCGGGGAAAGTGACTGAAAGCCAGTCTGGAGCTGAGCATGTGGCATCATTTCCTCTTGGACTGCTCCCCCACATACAGAGCCACAATGCATCCAGGTGTGTTGCCCTACCCTGGTGAATACCTAAGGCTCCACCACTTACTACATAATAGGCACACCCAGACAAAAAATATGGCCCAAATTAAAGAATATATCAAAGCTCCAGAAAAAATACAACTAAGCGATGAAGAGATAACTAACCTATCAGATGCACAGTTCAAAACACTGGTCATCAAGATGTTCACAGAAATGTTTGATGTGGTCCCAAAATAGAGGAAAAATGAAAGCTATGCAAAGTGAAATAAAAATATACAGGGAATCAACAGTGAAGGGAAGAAAACTTGGACTCAACGATTTGCAGCAGAAGGAAGACATAAACATTGAACCAGAACAGAATGAAGAAACAATAATTCAAGAAAATGAGACTTCCGCCAAGATGGAGGTATAGGTGGATGTGCCGTGCCTTCTCACACAACCAAGTTTAGGGACAACTAAATATTAGCATCAGAAAACACAACCAGAACACGGGAAATTGAACTTTTCGGAAGACCGTTAACAACAAATTCTTCAGCCCGACTGGTAAGGGGCGAAACCGGCGTCTGGTGAGGGATTGCACAGGAGGGCTCGGTCGGACCCGGCGAGGAATCCAGACGCGCGAATCCAGACGCACAGGTTCCAAACGCAGGATTGGACCTAGTGAGCGACTGCAGAGGAGACAGTGGGGAGGCGGTGCAGCGTGTTGACTGCGGTTGCCTAGTTACGCGCGAGCGGACAGGCGAGGGAGTGGGCAGTTGGACCGGCTGCAGCGGTAGCGGCAGCAGCGATAGAGGGCGCTGCCATTTCCCCGCTCTGACCACGCCCCCACATACAGCGTCACAACCCAGCGACCTGGGAGTCCAAGGCACCGCTTCTCACATTTAAAGGGCCAGAACAGACCAAAAATGTCGCAGGAAGACCTCAAAGCCCCAGAGATAAATCTAAGCAACGAAGAAATAGCAAAACTCTCAGACGCACAGTTTAAAACACTGGTCATCAGGATCCTTACAGATCTGGTTGATTATAGCCACAAATTAGAGAAACATATGAAGGCTAAACTAATTGAAATGAATGGAATTCCACAGGAAACCCATAGCGATGAAAAGGAAACTGGGACTCAAATCAATGGAGTGGACCAGAAGAAAGCAAATAATGGCCAAACAGAAAAGAGTCAAGGAGCAAGAATTCAAAGAAATGAGGAGAGTCTTAGGAACCTCCAGGACATCTTTAAACGCTCCAATATCCGAATTATAGGGGTACCAGAAGGGGGAAAGGATCAGCCACCAGTGGAAAACTTATTTGAACAAATAATAAAAGAAAATTTCCCCAATCTGGCAAAGGAAATAGACTTCCAGGAAATCCAAGAAGCTCAGAGAGTACCAAAAAAGTTGGACTCAAGAAGAAACACACCAAGGCACATCATAATTACATTAGCCAAAATTAAAATGAAGGAGAGAATCCTAGAAGCAGCAAGAGCTAAGGGGACAATCACCTACAAAGGAGTCCCCATCAGACTGTCAGCAGATTTCTCAAAAGAGACCTTACAGGCAAGAAGGGGCTGGAAAGAAATATTCCAAGTCATGAAATCTAAAGACCTACAACCAAGATTGCTCTATCCAGCAAAACTTTCATTTAGAATGGAAGGACAGATAAGGTGCTTCTCAGATAAGATCAAATTCAAGGAGTTCATCATCACCAAGCCCTTATTATATGAAATGTTAAAGGGACTTATCTAAGAAAAAGAAGTTAAAGAAACATGAACAGTGAAAGAACAACAAGCTCACAGTTATTAACAACCACACTTAAAACGAAAGCAAACTAAAAGGACAGCTAGATCAGGAGTGGAAACATAGAAATGAAGATCTCAAGGAGGGTTAGCAACAGGGGAGTGGGAGGAGGAGATGGGGGGAGAAGGTACAGAAAATAAGTAGCATAGACAGTAGATAGAAAATAGATGGGGGGGGGCAAGAATAGCATGGGAAATATAGAACCTAAAGGACTTGAGACACATGGACATAAACTAAAGGGGGGTAATGGTGGGGATGGGGGGGCAGGGTGGAGGGGAATGAAGGGGGGGAATAGAACAACTGTAACAGCATAATCAATTTTAAAAAATAAATTAAATAAATAAATAAATTACTTGTATAAAAAAAAAAGAAAAGAAAATGAGGAAAGGCTTAGGAACCTCCTGGACAACTTTAAATGTTCCAAATCTGAATCATAGGGTTGCCAGAAGGAGAAGAGGAAGAGCAAGAAATGGAAAACTTATTTGAAACCATAATGAAGGAGAACTTCCCCAATCGAGCAAAGAAAATAGACTTGGAGGAAGTCTTGGAAGCTCATAGAATCCCAGAGAAGTTGGGCCCCAGGAAACACACACCAACCACATCATAATTACATTACCCAAGATTAAAGAGAAGGAGAGAATCTTAAAAGTATCAGGGGGAAAGGAGACAGTTATCCTCAAAGGAGTTCCCATAACACTATCAGTTGATTTCTCAAAAGAAACCTTGCAGGCAAGAAGGGGCTGGAAAGTATTCACAATCGTCAAAGGCAAGAACCTATATGCCAGACACCTCTATCCAGCAAAGCTATCATTTAGAATGGAAGGGCAGATAAAGTGCTTCCCAGAGAAGGTCAAGTTAAAGGAGTTCATCATCACCTAGCCTTTATTATATGAAATGTTAAAGGGACTTATCTGAGAAAAAGAAGATCACAATTACAAACAGTAAAATGACAACAAACTCTCAACTCTCAGCAATTAAACCTAAAAAACAAAAACAAACTAAGCAAACAACTGGAACAGGAACAGATTCACAGACATGGAGATCATATGGAGGGTTATCAATGAGGCAGGGAAGGGGATAGAATGGGGGAAAAGGTACAGGGAATAAGAAGCATAAATGGTAGGTACAAAATAGGCGGAACTTAAGAATACTATGAGAAATGGAGAAATCAAAGAACTTATATGTATGATCCGTGGACATGAATTAAGATGGGGGAATGATGGTGGTAGGTGGGTAATAGGACACAAGGGAATAAAGGGAGAAAAAAATGGGACAACTGTAATAGCATAATCAATAAAATATATTAAAACAAAAACAAACAAAATACATAACCTCAAACATGTCCCAGAATCAAGTAGGAATGATGGATGGGCCAAATGACCTTAAAAATCCATGCAGCCCCAAGATTGTATTATATTGTGTATGTTTTTTAAAAATTATCCACAATATTGATTTATTCATATTCAAATAAATTGGTTCCATTTCTTAACAATAATGCTTTTATTGATGATGATGATTGATGATGTCAAGCAAACCATCTCAGTTGCTGTGATGTAAATATTTAATGCAGTGATGATATTTATTAGGTAAAAGCATGAGATTTGAAGGCAGAGAGTCCTGGGTTCAGATACCATCAAACGTTAATCAGCTGTGCAAAGTCATATAATATATTTCATTTGTTTGAGCTGCAGTCTTCTAGTTTTCAAAGTGAGAATAACAACAGTGCTAGAGATTTCCACCAAGATGGAGGCATAGGTGGAAGCACTGTGCCTTCTCCCACAACTAAGTTTAAAAACAACAAAAGTTTTAGCAAAAAAACACTGCCAAACCACAGTAAATTGAACTACACGAAAGTCCGACAACAATGGACCCTTCAGCCAAACTGGTAAGAGGGGCACAGCCAGCAGCAGAGCCGGGTCAGGCAGGAAAGATTCACCAGACCAACCCGGGCACACAACCCACGTGCGCCAAAAGCCATGGGTGGATCCCAGGTGTGGAGAAGCGGGCGGACCCACTGAGGGCACAAGGAGGTGGCCCCACTGAGGGCTGATCGAGGTCACACATTCACACACAGATAAACCAGTGAAGGAGCTAGCAGAGAGACAAACCTTGCAGGCCCCAGCGGGAGGAAGTGGCAGAGGGAACCACCATTGTCCCTCTCTGACCCTGCCCCCACATACAGCATCACATTTCAGCGACCTGGGTGGCCCCGCCCTGGTGAACAACTAAGGCTCTACTCCTCATACCTAACAGGCACGAACAGATCAAAACATGGCTCAAGAACAACTCAGAGCCCCAGAGCCCATAACTCTAAGTGACCAAGAAATAGCCAAACTTTCAGATGCACAGTTCAAAACACTGGTGATCAGGATGCTCACAGAACTGGCTGATTTTAGTCACAAATTAGAGGAACATATGAAGGCTAAACTAATTGAAATGAATGGAAATACACAGGAAACCCATAGTAATGGAAAGGAAACTGGGACTCAAATCAAAGGAGTGGACCAAAGGAGGGAAAAAATGACCAAACAGAAAAGGATGAAGAAACAAGAATTAAAAAAAAATGAGGAGAGGCTTAGGAACCTTCAGGACATCTTTAAACATTCCAACATTCGAATTATAGGGGCGCCAGAAGGGGAAGAGGAACAGCCACCAGTGGAAAACTTATTTGAACAAATAATAAAGGAGAACTTCCCCAATCTGGCAAAGGAAATAGACTTCCAGGAAATCCAGGAAGCTCAGAGAGTCCCAAAGAAGTTGGACCCAAGAAGGAACACACCAAGGCACATCATCATTACATTAGCCAAGATTAAAATGAAGGAGAGAATCCTAGAAGCAGCAAGAAATAAGGGGACAGTCACCTACAAAGGAGCTCCCATCAGACTGTCAGCTGATTTCTCAAAAGAGACCTTACAGGCAAGAAGGGGCTGGAAAGAAGTATTCCAAGTCATGAAATCCAAAGACCTACATCCAAGATTGCTCTATCCAGCAAAGCTTTCATTTAGAATGGAAGGAGAGATAAAGTGTTTCTCAGATAAGATCAAATTCAAGGAGTTCATCATCACCAAGCCCTTATTATATGAAATGTTAAAGGGACTTACCTAAGAAAAAGAAGATAAAAAAGATGAACAGTAAAAGGACAGCAAACTCACAGTTATTAAGAACCACACCTAAAACAAAAGCAAACTAAGAGGGCAACTACATCAGGAGCAGAACCATAGAAATGAAGATCACATGGAGGGTTAGCAACAGGGGAGTGGGAGAAGGAGAAAGGGGGAGAAGGTACAGAAAATAAGTAGCATAGATGGTAGGTAGAAAATAGATGGGGGGAGGGCAAGAATAGTATGGGAAATATAGAATCTAAAGAACTTGAGACATGTGGTCATAAACTAAAGGGGGGGACGGTAGGGGAGGGGGTATACAGGGTGGAGGGAAATGAAGGGGGAAATAGAACAATTGTAATGGCATAATTAATAAAATATATTTTTAAAATAACAGTGCTTACATTATAATTTTTATGACTATTAAAAGAGCTCTTGGATATTTAAAAGTAAATTAATATTTAAATAGTCACGCACAATTATATAAAACTTAAAAATAAGTATTTTTCGACTGCATAAAAGTTAAAATATTACTATACACTAACCTAATTTCTCGGTCATGTATTGAAGAAGAGTATTCTAATTCCAACAGCACTCCATGATTCCTGAGTGACTCTTTTATTTCTTTCAGGCCACAAATTTGCTGCTGTTTCCCACTGCCCTGTTAATAAGGGAAAAAATGCAATTTTCTGTCTCAGTTATTAATATTTCAAATTATCCCTGAGCTATGCAATGTGTATCACAGGTGAATTAAAATCGAAAGATTCTAGATTAGTTTCAATGTCTTTTAATTTCAAAGAAGCAACCAAAGAACATGAAATGGCTTATGAGCAGTTATTTTTATCAAGAGTAAGTGTTTTTTCTAATGTAAACATAACACAACTCTGTTCTATCTCCTGAGATGTATTTTAGTAAAGCTGTTTAGTTATTCGGATGGGGCTGGCTTGTTCTCAAATTATTCCTAGAAATTGAATTATTTAGAAGCATTCCAGTGTAAGTCAAAATCAAGAGAGAGATGCCCACTATTATGCTTTGATCCCCCAGAATGCCAATACAATCAATCAAGAAAAAGAGATACAAATACTAACTGGTAGAAGGAAAATGAAATGAAATTGTCAATAGTGCAGAGAGCATGCCTGCCTCCTAGAACATCCAAGAGACTAAACTGACAAAGTATTGGAATAAGAGAGTTTAGCAAAGTGGCCAAATTCAAGGTATAAGATACTAAAATCAACAGCATTTTCTGAGGTGTTTTATGCCCACTGTTAGATAGTAAGTTCACCACCAAGAAAAGAGATCTAGCCGAAGCATTATGTCCAGTTTCCCTTGCTTGAACTGTATCTTATAGCTGAATGAAATGAAGTTAAAGAAGAGTAAATATGCCTTCAGATACCTACTTCATCCAGGGAGGTGAGAAGATGAATCGTTTTTACTTTACATGGTCCCTTAATAAGCATCTCACAAAAGCGAAGAAAGTTATACAGCTGAAAAATATTAGGATGAGTTACTACTAACTCATACATTTTAAATAACATTTCATCATATGTTAGTTTGTTTCACTTACCTGATGAGTTTGTCTAATGTAGGGATCTTCTACCCAAACTTCTTTAACTGTTTCATTAAGGTATTCTTGAAAAAGTGTCTCATAACTGAAACCTGTTGCATTCTCCTCTATTTTGATTTCCTTGTGATATTTTCCATCTATAAAACACAAGCTTTAATTTTAAAAAATCCAGTGGTAACTTTTATCAGGATCAGACACAAATTAATTTTTAACTTATTTATTTAAATTAAATTTTTTGTTCAAGTATAGTTTTAGATCTTTTACTCCCATCCCAGTCCACCCCCCAAGTGCTTCCTACCTCCTTCCCATTTCTACTCACCTTAGTTGTTGTCCATGTGTCCTTTATACTAGTTCCTGTAAACCCTACCCCTTTCCCCCTGAAATTCCCTCCCCTCTCCCCTCCGGTCACTGTCAGCCTGTTCACTATTTCAGTGTCTTTGATTATATTTTCCTTGCTTGTTTTGTTGTTTAGCTTCCTGTTAAAGGTGAGATCATATTGTATTTGTCTTTTACCACCTGGCTTATTTCACTCGGCTTAATGCTTTCCAGTTTCATCCACGCTGTTGCAAAAAGTAGGAGCTCCTCCTTCCTTTCTGCTGCATAGAATTCCATTGTGTAAGTGTACCATAGTTCTTGGATCCATTCATTTACTGATTGGTACCTAGGTTGCTTCTAGCACTTGACTATTGTAAATTATGCTGCTATGAACACTGGGGTGCATAGGTTCTTTGGGACTGGTGTTTCAGGATTCTTAGGATATGATCTTAGCAGCAGTGGAACTGCTGGGTCAAAAGGCAGATCCATTTTTAGTTTTCTGAGAAAATTCCATAGTGGCTGTACCAGTCTGCAATCCCACCAACAGTGCACTAGGGTTCCCTTTTCTCCACAACCTCTCCAGTACTTGTTTGTTGCTTTGTTTATGATCGCCATTCTGACCAGTGTGAAGTGGTATCTCATTGTGGTTTTAATTTGCACCTCTCTAATAGCTAGTGATATTGAGCATCTTTTCATGTCTCTGGATCCTCTGTATGTCCTTCTTGGAGAAATGTCTGTTCAAGTCCTTGGCCCACTTTTTAATTGGGTTGCCTGTCTTCTCAGAATGGAGTCGTGTAGTTCTTTGTATATTTTGGATATTAAACCCTTGTGTGAGGTATCACTGGCAAATATGTTTTCCTAGACATTTCTGTTTGTCTCTTTTTATTTTAATACTGTTTTCTTTAGCTGTACAGAAGCTTTTAATTTTGATGAAATCCCATTTGTTTATTCTTTCCTGTATGTCCCTTGCTCTAGGTGACATATCAGGAAAAATGTTGCTGTGTGAAATATCTGAGATTTTCCTGCCAGTGGAAAATATCACAATCTCCTCTAGGGCTTTGATGGTGTCACGGCTTATATTTGTCTTTTATCCACCTTGAATTTATTTTGCTGTATGGTGTAAATTGGTGCTCAGGTTTAATTTTTTTGCATGTAGCTGTCCAGTTCTCCAAACACCATTTGTTGAAGAGGCTACTATTAGTCCATTTTATGTTGCTGCCCCTTTGGTCGAATATTAATTGACTGTAGAGACTTTGGTTTATTTCTCGGCTCTCTGTTCTGTTCCATTGGTCTTTGTGCCTGTTTTTAAGCCAGTACCAGGGTATTTTGATTACAGTGGCCTTGTAATACAGTTTGGTATTACAAGGTATCGTGATCCCTCCTACTTTGTTCTTCTTTCTCAAAATTAAAGCAGCTGCTATTCGGGCTTGTTTATGGTTCCATATAAATTTTTGAAGTGTTTGTTCTATGTCTATGAAATATGCCATTGGTACTTTAATAGGTATTACGTTGAATCTGTAAATTGCTTTAGGTAGTATGGACATTTTGATGATGTTAATTCTTTCAATCCATGAACACAGTATATGTTTCCATTTGTTTGTGTCTTCCTTGATTTCTTTCCTCAGTGTTGTGTAGATTTCTGCATACAGGTCTCTTACCTCCTTGGTTAGGTATATTCCCAGATATTTTATTTTTGTTTTTGCTATATCGAATGGGAATTTTTTCTTGATTTCTGCTTCTGCTGATTCATTGTTAGTATACAAAAATGTCTTTGATTTCTGGATATTGACTTTGTAACCCACTGTTTGCCAAATTCATTAATTAGTTTGAGCAGTTTTTTTGGTAGAGTCTATAGGATTTTCCATGTACACTATCATGTTGTCTGCAAACAATGACAGTTTTGTTTTCTCCTTTCTGATTTGGATGCCTTTTATTTCCTTTTCTTGTCTGATCACTGTGGCTAAAACTTACAATACTATATTGAATAGAAGTGGTAAAGTGGACAACCTTGTCTTGTTCCTGATCATAGTGGAAAGGATTTTAGTATGATGTTGGCTGTAGGTCTCTCACCTATGGCCCCTTATATTGAGGAATGCTCCCTCTATTCCCACTGTGCTGAGTACCTTTACCATAAATGGGTGTTGTACCTTATCAAAAGCTTTTTCTGCATCTATTGTTACGATCATGTGGTTTTTGTTTTTGCTTTTGTTTATGTGATGTATTACATTTACTGATTTGTGAATATTGAAACATCCTTGCATCCCTGGGATGAATCCCACTTGGTCATGGTGTATGATCTTTTTGATGTATTGTTGGATGCAATTTGCTGATATTTTGTTGAGGATTTTAGTGTCTATGTTCATCAGCAATATTGGCCTGAAGTTTTCTTTCTTTGTTGTATCAATTTTGGGATTAGGATGATGCTGGCTTCATAAAAGGAGTTTGGGAGTCTTCCATCATTTTGGATTTTTTGGAATAGTCTGTGAAGAATAGGGGTTAGCTCTTCCTTAAATGCTTTATAGAATTCTCCTGTGAAACTATCTGGTCCAGGGCTTTTGTGTGTCAGGTTTTTTGATTACTGCTTCAATTTCATCTGCTGTTATTGGTCTATTCAGGCATTCTGCCTCTTCTTCATTAAGTTTTGGAACATTACATTTTTCTAGAAATTTGTCCCATTTCAACTAGGTTTTGAAATTTCTTGGTATACAGTTCTTTATAGTAATTTCTTCCAATCCTTTGTATTTCTGTGGTGTCACTTGTAATCTCTCTTTCATTTCTGATTGTGTTTATTTGTGTCCTCTCTCTTTTTTCTTGATGAGCCTGCTTAAAGGTGTGTCGATTTTGTTTACCTTTTCAAAGAACCAGCTCCTGGATTCATTGATCCTTACAATTGTTCTTTTAGTCTCTATGTCATTTAATTCTGCTGTGGTCTTGGTTATTTCCTTCCTTCTACTTGCTCTGGGCTGCCTTTGTTGTTGTTCCTCCAGTTCTTGTAGGCGTAGGGTTAGGCTGTTTGTTTGAAATGTTTCTATCTTTTTTACGTAGGCCTGCATTGCTATGAACTTCCCTCTCAGGACTGTTTTTGCTGTGTCCCATAAGTTTTGGGTTGTCATGAGTTCATTTTCATTTGTTTCCAGAAACTTTTTGATTTCTTCCCTAATTTCATACTTGACCCATTCATTGTTTAATAGCATGCCATTCAAGCTCCATGATTTTGAGTGTTGAGGATTTTTCCTTTGGGGTTGGTTTCCAGTTTCAGTCCCTTGTGGTCAGAGAAAATGCTTGGTATGATTTCAATTTTTTAAAATTTGTTCAGGCTTGTTTTGTGTCCTATAATGTGGTCTGTCTTTGAAAATGTTCCATGTGTCAAATACGCATTTGAAAAGAATGTGTATTTATCTTCTTTGGGATGAAGGGCTGTATATATATATATATATATATCAGTTAAATTCATTTCATCTAGGGTGTTGTTCAATGCCACAATATCTTTGTTGATATTTTGTTTGGAAGATCTGTCCATTTTTGACAGTAGGGTGTTAAAATCCCCTACTATAACTGTGTTGCTGTCAGTATGTTTCTTGAAGTCCTCTAAGATTTTCTTTATATATTTGGGTGCTTCTATGTTGGGTGCATATATATTTACAATGTTTATGTGTTCTTGGTGGATTCTTCCCTTGAATATTATGAAGTGACCTTCTGGGTCTCTCTTTATGTCCCTTTTTTTGAAGTCTGTTTTGTCTGATACCCCATCTTTTTTTTTTTTCCTGTCTATGTGCTTGGAAAATTTGTTTCCAGCCCTTCATGTTCAGTCTGTATAGGTCTTTTGTCCTGACGTTGGTCTCTTGTAGGCAGCATATGTGTGGGTCATGCATTCTTAGCCATTCGGCTATTCTATGTCTTTTGATTGGAGCATTTAATCCACTTATATTTAAGGTTATTATTGCTATGTACTTATTCATTGCCATTTTTGTACTTGTGTTCCTCTCTGTCTCTCTCTTTTCCTTCTTTTCCTTAAAGCAGGCCCTTTAGCATCTCTTGCAGAACTGGTTTGGTGCAGGTGTATTCTTTTAGACTTCTTTTGTCTTGGAAGCTGTTTATTTGGCTTTCTGTCTTGATTGAGAGCCTTGCTGGGTAAAGTAGCCTTGGTTGCAGGCCTCTGGTTCTCATTACTTGGAATATTTCTTGCCATTCTGTTCTTGGTTAGAGCGTTTCCATTGAGAAGTCAGCAGCTAACCTTATTGAGGCTCCCTTGTATGTTACTTCCTTTCTCTCGCTGCATTTTAAGAATCTCTGTTTGTCTTGGAATTTTGCCATTTTAATGAGGATGTGTTTTGAAGTGGGCCTCTTTTGGGTCCTCTGGATTGGGACTGCCTGTGTTTCCTGGATTTGTGTGACTTTTTCTCTCACCAAATTAAAGAAGTTTTCCATCATTACTTTTTCAAATAGGTTTTCTATCCCTTGCTCTTCTTCTCCTTCTGGTATCCTTATTATTCGGATATTATTACATTTCATATTGTCTTACATTTTCTTAATCCCTCTTCATTCTTTCTGAGCCTCTTTTCCTTTCCTTGCTCTTTCTGGGTGTTTCTTTCTACCTTGTCCTCCAACTCGCTGATCTGATCTTCTGCTTCATTGATCCTGCTTTTGATTCCTTCCACTGCATTCTTTAGGTCAGAAATCATATTCTTCATTTCCTCTCAGCCCTTGCTGATTGTTTCTGTTTCCTTCTTCATGTTGATATAGTTTGTAGTGAGTTCACTGTAGTTCCCCTGTAGTTTCTAATAGCTCATTGTTAGCTCTTTGAACTTCCTGATAACCAGTGCTTTGAATTCAATATCTGATTGTTGACTTGCCTCTATTTCATCTAGCATTCTTTCTGAGGCTTCCTCCTTTCCTTTCATCTTGGGATTGTTTCTTTGTCTTCTCATTGTTTGTGAGACTATTCTTGTTAGCATCAGTCTTACATTAATTTGTTCTCGCTGCCTGGGTTTATGGTGTGAACTTCTGTGGTGTAATACCTGTGAGATTCAGTGGTGTAGTCTCCTTGATCTCCCATGCTCACTGGTCTTGGGCTGTCCGTTAAGTTGGCTCTGTGTTTGTCTTTATGTTTTGATTGTTTTGGGGTCTTTCCTTTGTGGGTCCTTCCCACCAGCTGGTTAACTGATGGCACCTCTGTCCACCACCTGTTGTAATTTATTGTGTTGGTGAGGGCAGGTTGAGTTGAAGCTAGTTCTTCTGTGTGTACAAGGTTTTGAGGATTCTCTTTTGCTCTTGTTCAGTTGTTTGTACTGGGTAGTTTCTTCACTATTTAGTTGTATTTCCAGATAAGTCTTGGATTTCCAAGGACCCTGTGGCAGGCCCTTGGCTCCCAAAGAGTCCGTGAAGGGGGGTTTCCACTCCCTTCTTCACCTTCTTCTGTTGTTATCTATTGGTGGTTCCTTTCTTGTTGGGTTTCCTCTTCCAGTGGGTATTGTGGTGTTCACAGCTTCCACCTACTCTTTTTTTGTGATCAGTTGGAGGGGAAGGCAAAATGGTTTATGACAGCAGGAGAGTATTCTATGATATTTACAGTAGCAGCCAGTAGAGAAGAGATAGGAGATCTTTAGGCCATGTATAGTGTTAACTGTAATCTTCAACCCAACAAGCCACTTTTAAGAAAGGATGGACAGAAGATAAGACTCTTGTTGGAGAGGGAAGGCTTGTGAGTTGGATCTAGAAAGCAGTGAGGTTGTGGGAGGTCAGATTCTGAGGTAAGGTGAGAGTAAAGGATAGTAAATAGGTGTAGTGTGTGAGAGAATAGAGTTAACCACTACAGTAATATAGTTCAGGAAACTGTGAAGTGAGCTCAGATCCCAAAGGGATGTTGTAAAGTATTTACAATTATATGGAACGGTTATTATTTACAATAATATTAGAACAACAATCATATGACAGAATCTGTGTGATCTGGATAACATGAATAGGAGGTATAGAACTTTGAGTAGTGTGCTAAAGGAACACAAATAATGTGAAGGATAGTAAATGAGCAATACACTGTGGAAGAGAGAACAGGGGAAACCTGTCAAATGATACAATATAACCAGCCAAGGCAAAGAAGACTATACAGAAAGAGAAGGAATACAGAGATACTATTAAAATAAAAGATGTAAGAATAATGAAAAAATAATAATACAAATATGCAGTAACTTTTATTTTCTCTGCAATAGCAAAGTGAAATTTGTCTGTCTCTACTGTTGGGATGCCCCCTCTTTGGGTCCAGCTCTGGTCTTTTTGCAGTTCCAAGTTTTTTGTCTCACTTGTGGGTAAAAAAAAAAGGCAGGAAAAGGGAGGAGGAGATAAGTTTGGAACAAAAGGAAGAAGGAAGGAAAGAGAGGAAAAACGTATTGAAAGATAAAACAATAATACAATTAAAAAAATAAAAGATTACTTAAAGAAAAAAACACCTCTTATTGGTTTCAAACAGGCCAAATCAGTTTTTCTGGTCTCACTGGCTGCAGCAGGCTGAGGGGTGATTGGTGTGGCCTTTCTCCCTTCCCAATGTGTACTCAGCCAGTCTTGCAAGCACTCTCCCAAGAGCTAGTCTGGTGTCTCTCCCCAGTGCCCCACCCAAGGGATCCAGGTTTTCTTCAGAGCACTCTTTTCCCAGGGGTCATCGCCATGGGCCGGGGTGCAGGTGCATGCACCCAGCCAGGCTGCCTAGGTCCCAAGGACTTGGGCGGGAACCCTTCCCAGTGCTATGGGGGAACGCAGGGCCTTTTGCCTGGCTGGGTGGGGAGTAGGCCAAGTGGCTGTCACAGGAGAATCCCCCAAACAGTTTTAGTTTTTGAGAAATTCCTTGTACTCAAGCCTGCCGCTCAGTACAGCCCAATTCTCCAGCCAGACCGGTGACTATCCAGGTCAGAGCCCAACACTGAGACTGTCAGCTCTCCCAAGCCGGCAACCACAGACTCCGCGAGTGATCACAGCCCTTGTGTTTGCCTCTTTCTCCTTACTCCCCTCTCTGCAACTTCAAGCAACCAGGTCTCTCCCAGCGTTGCTCAAACCCTGTGTGGCTGGGAGGGAGGGAGCAGATGACCTGGCTCTCTCCCAAGGACCGTGTGGCAGGCCCGCTGCTCCCAAAGAGTCCGTGGTAGACCCGGCACGGGGCGCAGGCTGAGGCTGCCGCCACCCCTGTCTCCGGGCTGGTCCCTGGGACCTTACTGTCCTGTAGCCATCCTTATCATCTGGTTTTTCAGTGTCCACTATAATTTCTGATCTCTTATTTTCATATATACTGGGATACTGTTGGCTGTTTGCTCTGTTGCTCCATAGATCGGCCAGGATTTTCTCCCATGTGTAGGGTGAAGTGGAATCCGCTCTGTCCTACTCCATCTCGATCTTCCCAATATCTCCCAAATTTTTTTAAGTCCTCTACTCAGTACACATTTGTGAATGGCTGCTGTACACAGGCACATGGCAAGATACTACACACAGAGGCAAATAAGGCAAACCATTCGAGAAGTGATTTTGCCTTTACAGAGACCAGGAAAGTAGGAAAGTCCAGAGATTTCTTGGAACAGGTTCTTGAGCTAATTCCTAGAAACCAGGCATTTTATTCAAGAGACGAATGTATGTATAAAGTTATCTGATATTCTTGTCACCGTGAATAGAACTACAAGTTATGACTCAGTGGCTATCTGGTCCTTCTCTTAAGATTTGTCTTTTTGTGTTCTGTAATTTAATAGCTACAGTGAGTATTAAATACATAAATGTAGTATATTATGGAGTTTAGAAGTCTTTCTTAGAACTTGCAGGGAATGTTTTAGGCAGAAATTGACAATACTTTTCAATAATCTGAGCCAAAGACGAGGATGCCAGAAGATGAGTAGGATAGTTCCAATGAGTTTGTTCATTCAAAATGAGTAACTATTGTAAAGGTTATCAAAGATCTTTAAAATTTTTTAAAATATGACCTTTTAATGGGTAGTTCCTAGTCTATATAGCGGTTGCACTGTCAAACTGTTTAAAAAGCAGTAATTTGGATTCTGTTTCTAATATTTTCACAGATACAATGTTAGCAACCATGTGTCCATACTGAAGCCAAGGGCACTGCATAGGTTAATTCAACCCAATGTAGTCAGACACAATGCTGATGTTACTATATCTCATCAATGTTTTAGAGAGAAGTTTCATAGCAGATTTCAGTTTGGGGTTAAGGAAACAAATTTTTTTAAAGATTTTATGTATCTTTAGAGGGGAAGGAGAGAGGGAGAGAAACATCAATGTATGGTTGCTTCTAGTGCATCCCCTACTGGGAACTGGCCTGCAGGAAACTGGCCTGCAACCCAGGCATGTGCCCTGGCTGGGAATTGAACCACGGTCCTCTGGTTCACAGACCTGCACTCAATCCACTGAGCTACACCAGCCAGGTAAGGAAACAATTTTATTCCACTCAACAAGGAGCTCAGTGGGGTATCCTGGGCTGGTACAGAATACTAGGAAGAGGTAGGGAGAGGGCTGTAGTCAGGAGAGCAAGAAAGAGCAGCTGGGGAGCTGGAGGCACTGGCTTTTTAAGGCTGTAGTTCTTTTGGCTGCAGAAAGCAGCTGCAGTGTATACTTCAAACTGTGGCAATGGCCACTTACATTTGTGTGTAAACTAGATACTCAAAAGGAGAGAGCTAATAATAAATAGGGAACAATATTACTGCATCTCTAATAATTAGGAATACTTCTGAAATGTTTCGATTCACAACAAAGCCCCAAAGAAATCCCAGGAGTTTCTTTAGATACCATAATATTTTGGTCATTTTATAAACAGGAATACAAGTTAAATTACAGGATTCACATTCAGTATTCCTGTGTAGTATTAACTTAATCTGGGTGTACACATAAGCTTCAAGGAGATCTGTGAATTATTCCTTAAAACAGCAGGCAAAGTCCTGCAGTATTTATAGCTTTCTTCAGATTCTCAAGAGGGTATCTCCCCACTAACCATCCCCAGCAAACGAACAAATGAAAAAAAAAAGGTAAAAATAGCTTCTGCACAGGAGAGCAGAAATGCAGAGTAACCTGCCAGCTTGCAGGGACCTCACAGAGCTCCAAAGGTAGAGCCAGAAACACTAAGTGAAATGGGCTTTGTCTATAGTGTCTGAACACATTCTCTAAAACAGCCGCTTTACCTTCTTTTTCTTGATCCAAGTATTTCTTTATATTTTCTGCTCTGTCCATGTAGCCAGAAATTTTTTTTCTAAGATTACATTTCTTTGCATCATCTTGGGTGCCTACAAATTAAAAATATATATTTCCAAGTTTCAAAACAGTTTTTCCACTTAGTGTAGGCATTATTTCCAGCTTCCCAAGTCTTCCACACATTTCCTATCCCTTCACCTGGTTTGCCTCAACCCCAAAACACACAATTTTAACTTGATTATTGGTGCACTGAGTATCTGAAGCAGCTTCATTGAGGAGGGGAACTCTGACACTGTGTCTCCATGCTGGATACACCAAATCTGGTAAGGTGGCTCACTACACATCAAACCAGAGTCTGCACACTATTGTGACCTAATCACCCACAGGTTTGAAATCTTATAATCAAAAGAGAGTAAACAATGTCTGTCTTTCTTCCACAAAACCAACTTCTCTTCCAGACTTCTCCATTAGAGTTTTTGCTCAATCATTTTGCTAGCTACCCCTAAATGTAAGGTAATTTTGAATATACATTATCAATGAAATCTTACCCCAAAGTCCCACCCTCCCAAACCCAATCAGTTACCAAATTACTTCTGGTTCCTTCTTTTTTGAAACACTCAGTTTTTTAAAAACGATTTCTAATTAATTTCATATTTATGGAAAGTTACAAAAATAGTACAGACTCCTTTCCCCTAGTATTAATATATCACATAACCAGACCTGGCTGACATAGCTCAGTGGACTGAGTGCAGGTCTGCGAACCAGGGGTCACTGGTTTGATTCCCAGTCAGGACACATGCCTGGGTTGCAGGCCAGGTCCCCAGTAGGAGGCACATGATACACAACCACACACTGCTGTTTCTCTCCCTGTCTTTCTCCTTCCCTTCCTCTCTCTCTAAAAATGAATAAATAAAATCTTTTAAAAATTAAATTAAAAAATATATATGACATAACCACAGTACAATTATCAGAGTTAGGAAATTCAAATTCATACAACACTATTAAATCATCTATAAACCTATTTCCCCAGTTTTTTCACTAAAAAAAAGTTTGTTTTCTGGTCCAGGATCCCACTTGGCATTTAATTGTTATGTCTCCTCCTTTGTGTCCTCCAATTTGTAATAGTTCCTTAGTCTCTCTGCCTTTTGTGACCTTGTCCTTTGGGAAGAACAGTGGTTATTTTGTAGAATGTCTTTCATTTTGGGCTATTGATGTTTTCTCATGATTAGATTGAAGTTACGCTTTTTTGGCAAAAAAGAAATCACAGAAGTGTTGTGCCGCCCTCAGTGGATACATGATGTTGATGTGTCTTATTTCTAGTGATGTTAACTCTGTTCACTTGGTTAAGGTGGAGTTCACAAATCTCTGCACTGTAAAATCATTTACTCTCTCCTTTGTGATTAAGTATCTTGTGGGAGGACATCCTCTTTCTCACCACTCTTTTACCCATTAATTTTAGCCTCCATCGATAGTCCTTGCCAAAAAGTATTACTACATGTTTGCCAAATGGTGATCTTCTGTTACCATCATTCCTATTTATTGATTGGAATTCAACTATAAGGAAGAACTGTTCCTTCTCCCCATCTATTTATTTACTCAATTATTAACTTATATCTATATGGATTCTTGGGTATTTATTTTATTCTATGGGTTGTAATCCAATACTATCATTATTTTCCTGCTCAAATTTTATCAGCTTTGGCTTTGAGAGCTCTTTAATGTTGGTTCCTGTATTTTTTCAACATGCCCCATCATTTTTTAAGCCATTCCTTACTTCCCACCATTCCTTACTGCCTGGTACAAAATGTTTTAAATTCTTCTTGCATTTTCCCTGCCCCAGCCCTGGAAGGAAGCATTTTTCCAAGGAGCCCTGGTTCCTTTTATTGGAGAATGGTATCAAAAAATCAACTTCTGGGTGCTAAGTATGTTCATTGCTACTAGGAAAGTCCTATCACTACATCTAGACCCTTTCAGTCAACACAACTAGAAAGTATATGTAGGTTTATTAATATATACATACAGGCATACTCCAGAGATATTGCAGCTTCAGTTCCAGACCACTGCAATAAAGCAATTACCTCAATAAAGTGAGTCACATGAGTTTTTTGGTTATGTGCCAATGTCAGCAATTCAATATCCATACTGTCTCCTCCTTTTCCTTAATATTGGCATCACCTCCCTGATTTCATTCAGGCCCCTTATCACCTCTCATTTTGATTCCTGCAGAAGCATCTTAACTGGTCTGCTTGACTTCAGTCTATTCAGTTTAATGTGTTTCCTACACCCTTGCCATATTCACTGATTACTTGAGAAATAATCGTTGAGAATTTACTACATGCCAGGCATTGTTCTAAGCACTGGGGTACAGCAATTAATAAAACAGACACAATTCTCCCCTATCATTCAGGTGGGAGGAAAGACTAGGATTGAATTGGTAAAACATGTATGTTAGGTGGTGGTAAATGGTATTAAAGAAAATAAAGGAAGAAGGATGAGGAGTCCTGGGGTGGGGTTGGACTGTTAGCCTGGAGGTCAGGGGAGACCTCACAAAGGAGGTGATACTTGTGTGAAGACTGAGGAGGTCGGGGAGTAAGCCATGCAAATATTTGAGAGAAGAGCATATTCCTAAGAGAGATGAGCCATGAGAAGCAGCTTTAATTACATCATTCCTTGGTTAAAAACTTTAAATGGTTTTTCCTTGTCTATGAAGTGAGATAATTAGTATCTCCTCCAGTCAACTCCATGCACAGTGTCCTGCAAGACCCAATTTACCTTTAATCTTTACTTCTCGCTCTTCCCCTATTAAGACATAAGTTGAACTGAAATGAATCACTTATGTGGTTAAAGGGCACAGACAGAATTTGAACACTATTAACTGAATTTCTGATTTCTGAAATTCTAATTATTCCTCCAAAACCCCTATATCAAAAAAGCCACATCCACCTTTCCACCCCCAAATGACCTTCAACTGTTTAAATCTGCACTGCACTTGTCTACAGCTCTCTCCTGACACTAATCCCCTCTTTTAGAGTTATTTTCCATCCGTACCTTAACCTGTAAAATCATGTCACTGTCTCTGTAACTTATGCAGGATCAGTGGAGCACACTGGCTGTGATCCTCCTGCTTCAGATTCCTAAAGCCCCAGGACCTGAGCAGTGTTCCATCTGACCAATAGTGTACACCATCTCTCTTTTTGGGAGTCAGTACTCCACAGTCTTTAAATCTTTGGTTTCCAATCGTGAGTCTACCAACTGGTAGCAGAATTTGAAAGCAAACTACTTTTTTATGTTTTGAGGATAACATTACCTCCTACTTCACAGGACAACTTAAGTATGAAATGGGATCGTGCTTTTAAAGTGTTCTGCACAGTGCCTAGCCCTCACCACTCATAAATTATGATACTCATTGTTATCATCCTCATAATCATTAAATGGGCCCCACACAAGGCAGTTTTATAGTTGAGGGAAGCACAGAACATTGAAGAGCGCTCTTTGCTGCCTCAAAACTCCTGTAACACATTATAAACAGGCTAAAAGGCAGACAAAAGGGGAGATCTTAGGCCAGACTGTGAGCTACAGGATGAGGGAAACAGAGGCTGGTCTTAATCAATTTAAAACAGTTACTGGGTGTCTACTAAGTACCAAAGATTTCGCTGGTGTTCAGGTTATTTGGGTACTTCAGGACACTGAATAATTCGGAACAGTCTCACCATCCCCACCCACAATCTATTTAGCATTTCTCACACCGAATATCAATCAGTAAGCCTATTTTTCACACAAAAAACCCTTTTTCTTCTACAACTATGTGATTTTATTTTTGTTTACTTTTAATTAAACTGTTTAAACAGAAAAGATTAACAGTGTAATGAACATCCTTATTACACAGAACCTAGATTTTTAAATTGTTAGCGTTTTTGCCCCATTTGATTCCATGCTTCCTCCAGAAGTACTTCAGTCTGCATCTCTAAAAATTAAAAAGTTTTTTAAAAATTAAAATTAAAAAAGTTTTTGAAGAAACTCGACTGCCTAGCAAAGCTAATAAATTTAATGTTACCAAGTCCACATTCTAATTTTCCCAGTTGATTTAAAAATGTCTAGTCTAGGGCCATACCACCCTGAACGCGCCCGATCTGGTCCAATCTCCCAAAAATGTCTTCTAGACCTGGCCAGTGTGGGTCAGTTGGTTGGAGCTCCGACCAGTGACAGTTTCGATTTCCGACTGGTTTCGATTTCCAGTTGGAGCAGAGCCTAGGTTAAGGGGACTGGCGCCCCGCCAGGCACTACGATCCCGGGTCTGGGCGCCCGGGGGTGTACCAATCCTTCTCTCTCCCTTCCTTTTTCTTTCTAAAACCAATAAAAATAAGATGTCCTGAGAGAGGACAAATTTTTTTAAATGTCTTCTACACAATGTTGTTCAAACACAAGTCCTAGCAAGGCTTATATATTTTATTTGGTTACATCTCTTAAAAATCTATAGTAGTACCCCCTGTTTCTTAATGACATCAATCTATTAAAGATAGTATACGTGTAAAATGTGTCACTTTCTGTATTTGCTTCCTCGCGGTGCACAACAGTCATTAACTCTTACACTGCACCTCCGATATAGCTGGGTGCTGCGCCTTTTCTTGTAACCCTTCCCTCCACGGTTCATTGCTCACCTCTCAGAACTTGCAAGAGCAGGTCAATCCCCTCCTGGTAACACACCAGAGCCTGCTGGTATCGGGACTCGGAATCTAGCTCCACCGCTCGCTTTAGCACAGTGGCTGCAGCTATGCTCTCGGAATCCAGCCCCCGCCCAGATTTTGCCATAATTCTAGGAACGGTTCTCTACTTCCAACTCCGCCACAGCCGGACTGGTCCATCGCGCTTCCGGGGGTGATCACGTGACACAGCAAGTCTGTTTAATTATCTCTTGGCCCTTGAGTGGGAGGGACTCCGCCGGAACCAAAGTGCCACGCTTTGCGAGTACTGTGACGGCAACGTCTGAGTGTAGCACTTCAGGGTCTCTTCTTTGTTCAGCTTCCTGTCTGCGGGTAAGTTCGGACTTAATATTTAGCGTCCGCTAGTGAGTGGAGAATACATGGCCGAAAGTGCTGCAGTCTTGCCAGGAGTACTTACGTATCTGGGAGCCACATGTAGATGCGCGTTGATTTTCCCTTTTGCGTTTGCTGGTCACAGTAAGCTAAATGGGCCTATGTCCGGCACTCTCCCTTTGGCTTCCAGAAAGCCACTGGCCGACCTGATTCCGTTTCCCAGTTGGAGGGATTCCGGGACACACGGCTTGTTGAGTCTGGTTGCTCAAAGTTCAGGGGCCGAGCCGCCTAGGCTGGACAGCCCAGGAAAGGAAACTAAACTTTGGTTTAGCCTTTTCTATGCCTCTGTTTTATTCTGCTTTATTTCTATGCCTCTGCTTTATTCTTTGGGCATTAGCATAATTTAATTAGTTGTTAATGAAGATTTTAAAAGTTGCTTTATTTTTTAAGTCGCTGCATTGTAGAAGGTGCACCTTCCGAAGTTAGCAGTTAAAATATTTGGCATTTTACCGAAAGCTATGATTTTTTGCAACCATGTTTTTGGCCGCCACCGACCCAAAACTGCTTTGCTGCGTATTTTTGCCAAAAGACACTTAGCCTCTCTAGTTCTTGTAAGGCGTTAGGAGTTGAAAAAAGAGGTATTTCTTGCCTTCAGAGATTTCGGTTTATCGGAAAAAGGATTTTGTATTTTTCATTTTTATTAATGCCCGTCTCCCTCTTTATCATAATATAGATGTCTCTTTAGGAAAGAAAATAGTTGTTTTTTTTAAGAACAATTGCATGCATGGTCATTGTGAAAAGGACAACAACAACAAAAAATACTATGGGACTTTACAGGAGGAAAGGGGAAAATTTGCCCTGGGAGCCTGCCCCTCCCCCCCCAGTGGGGTTGGGGGGGTGATGTTAAGGTTTTTTCTGATAGCCTTCCAGTTTTTCTGTGTACACACCCACATTCACAGACATTTTTAAAAATGGGAATAAAGGTTATACTTTTCATATGATGTGTGTATTTTCCTATTTTTACATTAGTGCAAAAGTTATTACTTGAGGCGACAAACAATACAGTGTACAGAGGATGTGTTGTGGAATTGTACAGCTGTATAATTTTGTTAACCAGTGTCATCCCAATAAATTGAATTAAAATAAAAGGAAAACACTTTTTATTTAAAAAGTTATTGTACAGGAGGAGATAATATAATTGTTTCAAGGTCCAAGAATTATATGCCTAATTATTAAGAATAACCTTTACTAAAACATAACTTTTGACTGTTACACCCTCCGAAGTCTGTAACTGAAATTTCATTCCAATAAATGAAATCTGTTCAACAGCAAAAATTAATTGAGCATCTACTACATGGCAGGTGCTGCTTTAAAAGGTAGATGTTTGGAATACGTGTGAATAGACAAAACAGACCAAAAACAAAACAAACTTTAAAAATCTTTGTTCTAGTGGAACTACCATTATTGGGTCAAGATCAACAATAAACAACAAACTCAGTTAAAGTATATAAGAAGATAAGTGCTGTGGAAATAAAATGAAATAGAAGAGGGGCTGGGAGTGCTGACGACTGTATCATGGGTCAAAATATTAAATAATGGCATCAGAGTAGACCTTATTAAAAAGATGAGGTTTGAGCCAAAAATTGAAGGAAGTAAGGGAATTAACCATGTGAATATCAGGAGCGGGAACATCCAGTACCAGGGAGTGTGCCTAGCTGGCAAGTACCAGAACCAGCAAGGGGACCAATATGTTTAACAATTGAGCAAGAGAGTAATTAATTGGTCGTTAAGTCAAAAGAGTAGGGGATAAGGACTGGTTATCACTCTGATTAAAATGGACAGGCATTGGAGGTTTTCCAGTTTTTAATACATAAGTTTAATTTTAGAATAGTTTTAGATTTTAGAAACTTGTGAAGACAGCACAGATCCTGTATACTCCACATCCAGTCTCCCCTTTTAGTAACATCTTTCATTAGTATCATTGATGAACCAATATTGGTTGATACATTATTAACAAAAGTTCATACTTTTTTCAGATTTTCTTAGTTTTTACCTGATGTCCTTTTACTGTTCCAGAATCCCATCCAAGATACTACATTACTACATTTAGTTATCATGCCTTCTTAGGCTCCTGACTATGACAGCTTCTCAGACTTTTCTGTTTATCATGGCCTTGACAATTCTGAGGCAGTCAGGTATTTTGTACAATGTCCCTCAATTAGAGTTTGATGTTTGTCTCTTAAGAGGGGTGTTACAGGGTTTTGGGAAGAAGACCACAGAGGTGAAGTGTCATTCTCTTTCTGTCATATCAAGGGTACAGGCTAGTAACTTGACCTTTATCACAATTGATGTTAATCTTTATCACCTGGCTGGCCATTGTGTTTGTCAGGTTTCTCTAGTGTAGTGTTAGTTTCTCCCCTTGCTAAATTGTCCTCTGGGAGCAGGTCATTGAGCACAGCCCACACTTCAGAGGTGAGTGGTTTTGCTCAACCTCTTTGTAGGGGGAATATCTACATAAACTACTTGGAATTCTTCTGTAAAGGGAGATTTGTTTCTTCTCATTAATTTCATTTATTCACTTAGTTATATCAGTATGTACTCATGGTTATTTTATAGTTTGGATTATAAGCTGGTACTTTGTTGCTTATTTTATTGTTCATATTATTCCAGCTTTAGCCGTTGGGAGCTCTTTCAGTCTGCTCCTATGTCCCTTTGGCATCCCCGTCTCATTTTTATTTTTTGGGTGTACCTTTCTAACACTACAAGGTGTTCCCTTTATATATCCTATATATATATCCTTTATATTCACCTTTATATATCCTCTGCTGCAGCCTGTTGCTCAACTGTTTCTCCAAGGAACCCTGGTACCTTTCATTAGAGAATTCTATTAGAAACTAAGATGTGGTCACTGGGTGTGGTCAATTTTACTAGGGTGCCATTCCTATCAGGTCTAATCCCGGACCATAGAGGTCATTCTAGCCTTACCTTATGTGTAACCTCCTCCAACAGTGACAAACCTGGCTCTTTGGAAGGTTTTGAGCTGAGGAGTTGAAATGATATGATTTAGGGCTTAATGAGATGATTGCTGCTATGGAGAAAAGACCTTATGGAAGTTGGAATGGAAGCAGGTAGGCCAATTAGGAGGCTTTTGTTGAATTCTAAGTGATAAGGGAAAAATTTAACTAAGTGTGAAGCTAAATGAATTGGGTTAGTAATGCTTAACTTGAGAGGCAGACCTATGGTAGAGAAAATAATTTTGCATTACCTATTTGATTAGAAGGGCCAGAGAACTAAGCATCTCTTCTAAGGAAGCCTCAGTACAAATATACATAACAACCAGCTAAGCAAACGGTGGCTGATTTGAACTAGAAACTTATGCTGTAATGTTTGAGGTCTGAAGTCATGCACCTTATCTTTCTGCTCAGAATATGTAGGTGTAGTAGGCTATAATCGTTATGTGTCTAAATAAACATGACTTTTTTAAGTCATGGAAGCAATGTGTGTTTGTTAAGAGTAGTTTGCAAAATACAAATAAGCAAAAAATAGAGCTACGCTTTACTTTTTTACAGAAAGGGGTTATGATTTAGTAAAAATGCACTCAATTAATGGAATTGAGTTCCAGATGATATACTGCCTGGATAGCTGGGTGCCCTTGTGTGAGTGATTGAACTTTCTGGAATTCATTTTCCTCCTACATAAAGTAAGAGGGTTATCAGTTCTAATAATAGGAGTAAGGATTTCTTTAGTCTTCAGCTCTTTAATTTTTTTGATTCTGTGACAAAGCATTCTTTCCCCCTCATTATTGAAGATTTCTTAAATGATAGTAACCCGCATTGCTCCATTTTTGTTTAAGCAACAGAGGCTCTAACGCATTTGGTGAAAATGGCATGTGGTTAATATATAATTACCACCCATGGTTTTGCTGAACTCTGAATACAATATTTACTATACCTTAATTCTTTCCCTTATTGTATTAAAATAACCAAGATTTAACTCTTAAATTCCAATCAAGTTTACAACTAACTTGCTTCGTTTTTTAAACAGAGGGGAGATCTGTTCATTTCCAAGACAGATTTGACCCACAGGCCTGTTTTCTACTTCTTGGGCCTCTGCAGAGGACAGTCACTGCACTCATGGCTGGGATTTTGCGCTCAATAGTTCAGAGGCCCCCAGGAAAACTACATGTAAGTGTTTCTTTTCAAGAGTAATCTTTTCTTTTCTGTTTCTTTAAAATTTCTCTTTCTCTTTTTTAATGAACACCACATATGAGCAAGTAAAACTTAACTAATTTATATGTTAATTTATTTTTAATGTTGAGGGTTAATTTTACTTATTTATGGCTTATCTGCTATTATCTCTAAACATTTGGAATCACTAAAGATCTTTTCCTGGAGAACAAGCTACTAAAAAAATGGCCAGCAGTGATTCCCCTTGGTTTGACTCAATCTTTTTAAAGGTTTAGGGATTTTTTTCCCCTTCAATTATTAAAAGAGTACATTTAATCTTAGAAAATTAGAAAACTATAGAAAAGCAGAAAGAAGAAAAACAATCTCCCAGAGACCATTTAATGTTTATACTGTCATATCATTCCTTCAAGTCTTTCTTTTGAAAACTGTGGTGGTGCAGCCTAACCTATTTGTGAGGGCCACAGTCTAGATACAGACCTTCTGCTGTAGATAGTAGTAATGTTAGGTGCTATTATCTTGACCTCAGATTAATCTCAAGTGGTCAGCATTATTTCCTTTTTATGGCTGACGAAACTGACCCTGTGAAAGGGTGTTCATTTCTCACAGCTGGTAGGCACAGAAGCCCAGTGTTGGTGGCATGTACAAACCTGTGTTTTTCCTCTGTCTTCCCCATCCCTTCCTCCTTCTCTTCTTTGTTCATGCCATCTCTGCAGTATAGGGAGGGCATGATGGGAATGATTATTGCCTGTCCAAAGGAGAGTTTCCTGGTATGAAGGATTGGCCCTGACTCCTTTCTCTTTTGCAGACTGAGAGAAACAAGCCTAGAGGATTGTGGGAAGGGAACAAGAGATAGGAACTAGGAATGATGGGATTGTTGGGACTAGAAAGAAAACTGGACACTGATTTTGACTTTTGTTTTACATTGTATTGTTGAAGGTGAATTGTCTAGAGCAGGGGTTGGCAAACTATGCCGCCCTGCAGGCCAAATGCTGCCCACTACCTTTTTTGTAAATAAAGTTTTATTGCAACACAGCCACACTCCTTTGTTTATATGTTGCATAGGCTCTTTTTGCCCTATAGTGGCAGAGTTGAAACTTGACAATGGAGACCATATAGCTCCAACCTAGAAATATTTACTATATAGTCCTGTACAAAAAAAATATTGCCAATGCCTGGTGTAGAAGTCTATAATTATGTGCTTTTGTTTTATATATTAGTGGTAAGATTCATGTTGGGGGCTGAGATAAACATGTAAAAACATGTTTAGGTGAAAACAGACTTCTTGTCACCTCGAAATTGGTGAATATGGATTTCTGCATGAGACAGACTTCTAGTAAACTAATGTTTTATATCATATTTTAGACTTTGACAAAAGGTGCGGAGTCTCTTGTTTGTACAGATTGGATTCGTCATAAATTTACCAAGTCAAGAATTCCAGATAAAGTAAGAACAAGGGTTGTCTTTTTTAATGTTACTATTTTTAAGTATGTTATTTTTAAAGGTTCTTATGTTTGTAATATTGAAATTTTTTATGTTAAATCATTCGTGGATGTAGGTAGTAGTGCAGAGTTTAGAATGTAGAAGGATATATGTATGTATATGATTATTAAAAATAAATGTGTCACTTGCCTTCCAAGTAGTGGGTTTTAATCATCTTAGAATCTGTGTATTACTATATGTGGTTTTCTCCCCTTAATATTTTGTGTTTTCATATCACCATTGTCCAGAGAAAATAGTCTTCCTCCTGCTCCCAAGCTCTGTGTTTGTGGCTCTTCACATTTTGACTTTTGTTTTACATTGTATTATTGAAGGTGAATTGTCTAGAGCAGGGGTTGGCAAACTATGCTGCCCTGCAGGCCAAGTGCTGCCCACTACCTTTTCTATATTGACTGTTGCCACTTTGGATCTTTGAGTTTCCTCTGTTAGGTTTATGTGTATGTATCTTTTTTTTTAAAGAACAGTGGCTAGGCTCCCCATTGATTTTTGTTTTGCATTGTTTTTTTTAAATAAGTACACTTTATTTCCTAGAGCAGTTTTAGGTTTATAGAAAAATAGAACAGAAAGTACAGAGAATTTCCATATAGTCCCTCCCCCAGGTAAACAGTTATCCTATCAATGTCTTACATTAGTAGACATTTATTAAATTGATGAACCAATATTGGCACATTATTATTAACAAGTTTATAACTGACATCAGGGTTCACTCTTTGGGTTGTATGCTCTGGGTTTTGACAAATACATAGTGTCCTGTATCCACCATTATAAATCATATAGAATAGTTTCACTGCCCTAAAAATTCTCTGTGCTTTGCCTCTTCATCCCTCCTTCTCATCCCCCAATGCCTGGTAACCACTGATCATTTTACTGTCTGTAGTTTTACCTGTTCTAGAATGTCATATAAGACCAGTAATATAATATGTAACCCTTTCTGCCTGACTTTATTCACTTAGCAATAAGAAGTTAAGGAGCCTTGATGTCTTGCCATGACTTGATAGCTCTTTTCTTTTTCTTTTCTTCTTTTTTTTAGTTAACTGTATTTTAATCCAAAGAACGATAAATCACAAGTTAACTAGAAAATCTCTGTCTAGAAGAACTCAGGAAAAACATGAATTTACAAATATTAAATTGTTTTCCATTGAAGAAGTGTCTGGAGTATTAGGAAACAAAACAGGTTCTGGAAGTAATGAAAGCTACATTTTTTTTAAAAGATTTTCTTTATTTAGCCCTGGTTGGTGTGTCTCAGTGGATTGAGCACCGGCCTGTGAACCAAATGGTCGCTAGTTCAATTCCCAGTCAAGACACATGCCTGGGTTGTGGGCCAGGTTCCCAGTAGGGGGCATGGAACAGGGAACCACACATTGCTATTTCTCTTCCTCTCTTAAAAATTATCTCTGAGATAATAATTTTTTTTTTAGAGAGAGGGGAAGGGAGGGAGAAAGAGCAACAGAAACATGTCTTTGCAACTGTTACACATATATAAGCATACACACACATAGTCGGGTCTCGTACAAGTAACACCCCTCTTTTATTATAGAATCATAAGCATGTGATTCTGTAACATAACAATCTCACGCTCAAGCCTACCATATGACATTTTAGGTGAAATGTTCAAATTAAAACTACAAATTATTACACTCATGTTATCCTACCAACCATACTCAAGCAGGCCTTACTTCTGCTGGACCCTGTATATAATTCTTAGAATTAGATAATATATATCATATTATATATGGTACAGATGAAACGAATGCAAGACCCTACTATACCTAGTGGTGTGGAAAGATTGGGTTTTTTGTTCTTGTAGGGAGGTTTTGGTGGTTTTTCTCAATAATGTATTATGACCATCTTAATGTTAGTACCTGCAAGATAGTGAACCTTACTTGTTTTAATGTCAGCATTGTGTCCAGTAGGATACATTATAATTTGTTTAGTTACATCATATTTTTTCAGTTTTATTATTAGTTTTATTTAGAATGTATGCATCATAATTTATTTAGTCTATTGAGGAAGTGGATGTACTTTAAGTTTTTTATGTACTTAATGGAAATTTCATATACTTAGGAAGTTTTTCTGTGGGATAGCTTCAGCTTCCTAGAACCTTTTTGATTCTTAGAGAATTAGTTCAAATGTCAGCTCTGTGGAGCTGTTTCTAATCCCTCATAGGCAGTCCTTTGTCTGTATTCTCATAGTACTTTGTACATTTTTAAAAATAATGTTTATGTTTTACTGTCATTTTAGACTACCTGTTTGTTCCTCCATCTGAACAGTTCATATAGTGCTAATACATTCTCCTAGCATCCAAGCTCTTTATTTTTATTTTTATATTTTTTGTTTGTTTTTAAACCAAGCCAGTTTTATTAAAGAAAAAATTTCCACAATGTAATTTTCACTAGTCTGTTCTGGTATTCTTCTAATGATATTCGAATCACTATACTCTGTAGTATTTTCCCCATGCTGTCCCCAATTCAATATTATTGCCACTGTAGTGATGCCACTGTAGTGGCTGACTTGGCCAACATGGCACAGTATTCTGTTTCTGATTTCCTCAAGGCAGCACAGTTGTTCGCGACAATGACCAGTTTTGCTTTGACTGGTATGATTATCTTCGGAGTCTGCTTGTACCCCAGCATGTACTTTCCACTTCTGATAACAAGTTGGAACCTAGAGTTGATCTACTCTAGTGACTTTTTTGTATTCTTTTTTTTCCAACATATTTCATTGATTATGCCATTACGATGGTCCTAGTCCCCCTCTTCATTCCCCTCCACACCCCCTCCCCCACCATCCCCCCTTTAGTTTATGTCCATGTGTCACAAGTTCTTTAGATTCTATATTTCCCATGCTATTCTTGCCCCCCCCCCTATCTATTTTCTACCTACCGTCTATGCTACTTATTCTCTGTACCTTCTCCCCCCTTCTCCTCCTTCCACTCCCCTGTTGCTAATCCTGCATATGATCTCCATTTCTATGGTTCACTCCTGATCTAGCTGTCCTCTTAGTTTGCTTTTGTTTTAGGTGTGGTTCTTAATAACTGTGAGTTTGCTGTCCTTTCACTGATCATATTTTTTATCTTCTTTTCCTTGATAAGTCCCTTTAACATTTCATATAATAAGGGCTTGGTGATGATGAACTCCTTGAACTTGAACTTACCTAAGAAGCACTTTATCTGCCCTTGCATTCTAAATGAAAGCTTTGCTGGATAGAGCAATCTTGGATGTAGGTCTTTGGATTTCATGACTTGGAATACTTCTTTCCAGCCCCTTCTTGCCTGTAAGGTCTCTTTGGAGAAATCCGTCAACAGTCTGATGGGAGCTCCTTCGTATGTGACTGTCCCCTTATCTCTTGCTGCTTCTAGGATTCTCTCGTTCATTTTAATCTTGGCTAATGTAATGATGATGTGCCTTGGTGTGTTTCTTCTTGGGTCCAACTTCTTTGGGACTCTCTGAGCTTCCTGGATTTCCTGGAAGTCCATTGCCTTTGCCAGATTGGGGAAGTTCTCCTTTATTATTTGTTCAAATAAGTTTTCCACTGGTGGCTGTTCCTCTTCCCCTTCTGGTACCCCTATAACTCGGAAGTTGGAGTGTTTAAAGATGTCCTGGAGGTTCCTTAGCGTCTCCTCCTTTTTTTTTTTGAATTCTTGTTTCTTCATCCTTTTCTGTTTGATCATTTTTTTCTTCCTTCTGGTCCACTCCCTTGATTTGAGTCTCAGCTTCCTTTCCATCACTATTGGTTTCCTGTGCATTTCCCTTCATTTCAGTTAGTTTAGCCTTTATGTGTTCCTCTAATTTGTGACTAAAATCAACCAATTCTGTGAGCATCCTAATCACGAGTGTTTTGAACTGTGCATCTGAAAGTTTAGCTATCTCTTGGTAGCTTAGATTTATTGGCTCTGGGGCTTTTAGTTCTTTTTCTGCTTGAGCCATAATGTTTTGGTCAGGTCGCACCTATTATGTATGAGGGGCGCAGAGCCTTAGGTGTTCACCAGGGTGGGGCGACCCAGTCGCTAGGTTGTGATGCTGTATGTGGAGGTGGGGTCAGAGAGGGGCAATGGCGTTTGTTCTGCTCTCAGATTTCTATCCCTTATGCTGCTTCCCACAAGCAAATTGGGCCCTTCTGGTGCTGGTTCCCAGGTGTGTGGGTTTGTGCACCCTCCAGGACCCTGTGGGTCTCTCCAACGAACTCTCTGTGAGCCTGGAAGCTTCTCCTGGCACCTTGACCCTGAAAGTCTTTCCAATTGGTGCTTTCATGCTCAATTGCCTTTGCTGGGGCCCTGGCCTGAGCGGTCTGTTTCACTGCTGGCTTCTTCGCTTGGTTTATCTGCGTGCCAATGTGTGACCGCGGTCAGCTAGCCACCTTGTGCCCTCACTGGGTCCTCCTGTTGCCACCCCACACCAGGGATCCTCCAACTGCCACCTGAGCTCCTGAACTCCTGGGTCGGTCAGCTGATCTTTCCTGCCTGACCCCACTCCACCGCTGACTCTGTGCCTCTTACCAATCTGGATGAATGGTTCGTTGTTGTTGGACTTCTGTACTGTTCGATTTTCTGTTTTTGGCTGCGTTTTTGTTACTAAAACTTTGTTGTCTTTAAACTTGATTGTGCGAGGAGGCACACTGTTTCCACCTGCGCCTCCATCTTGGCCAGAAGTACTTTTTTGTCTTTTTCATGACCACCATCTCCCTGCCTTAGGTACATAATGGCCCCAACCAAAAGCAGCCACCAGGATGGCCAGGGAACAGGAAAGGAAGAAATTCCCACAAAGCCCATCTAAGTTCTTTAGAGTCATCTGGTTGCTCCTGCCTTGCCCTTCAAAAAAAAACCAAAACCTTTGCCTGTGTGATATTTTTCTTAAGAGTATGAAATTCTTAGAGTGCATTTATCTAAGTAATTAGACTAGTAGAAATGTTCAATTTGAGGTTGAGGATTATAGAAAGATCAGGGTGACATCATTATGTAGTTATTTGGGGGTGTTTTCAGGGGGAAAAGGAGGTACATAAAAATTATATAAATTGAAAATTTACCACTGATTCTTCCTTTCTAGGTGTTTCAGCCTTCACCTGAAGATCATAAAAAGTATGGTGGGGATCCACAGCACCCTCATAAACTGCATATTGTTACCAGAATAAAAAGTATAAAAAGACGTCCATATTGGGAAAAAGACACAATAAAAATGCTTGGATTAGAAAAAGTATGCAACTATCTTAGTCATCTTTAGCTTTGTTTAAATTTGCTTTAAATTTGACTTTTTTTTAGTTTAAAGTATACATTTAATTTTTGTTTGTTTGTTTTTGTTTTTAAATGTACTATTTAGTGGAATGCACTTGAAAGTTTGATTTTGGCAGAATGAGCCTTAACCTTAACATTTTACTGAAACATGGGACCATCCGTGTTTTTGAAATTGATCTCTAACGCTGTTTCCTTTTGCTTGTAGGCTCATACTCCTCAAGTTCACAAAAACATCCCTTCAGTGAATGCAAAATTGAAAGTAGTTAAACATTTGATAAGGTTTGTTGTTTGTTACTTCAGAGACTTTTTAAAAGTCACTACCTAGTATAATTCTAAAATCCTTTTCTTTGCCACAGAATCAGGCCCCTGAGGTTGCCACAAGGACTTCCAAAAGAGGAGGACATGGCGCACACCTGCCTCAAGAGCACTGGAGAGTTAGTGCTGCAGTGGCGTCTAAGCCCCCTGGACCAGGAAGCAACTAAGTCCTAATGCCAGAGCTGTTTCAGATTAAAACATGCAAATCATTTTATTTAACGATGTTGAGAAAGTGCTATTGTTAAAATATATTTTAAATGCTAGTTGTTTTTACTAAGTATGGTGTGATTCTTTCTTACTATAGGCTTGAAGGTTGTAGTGCTGTTATTCAGTTTAGTAATCTCCCCTTTGCCCCGATAGTGTCACTACAACCTGGGTGAGAGTGGCATTGTTTGAACATCTAGGTTCATATGTCACCTTAGCAATCATCATTAACTTGGGGGAAAAAAATTTGTCTCGTTTAACTGAATTCAACAAATTCTATGAGTGGCCTTTTGAGTGAGCATTTTGTTAGGTATTAGAGAACTCTAGAGTTGCCCTTCAGGAGCTTACAGCCTGTTCTGCCAGAGAACAGAGTTTCAGCCAAAGTCATTAAACCTTGGATGCAGCTAGATCAGACAAAAACAGTATCTATTTCCTAATTATTAATCTATTTGGCCTAAAGTTTACTAATGTTCTTTGAAATCCTAAGTAACCTCTACCAACAGCTGAGATTGCTCTTTAAAAAAAAAAGAAAAGAAAGAAAGAAGGGAGAAATCTTTTAGATGGAATTATTTTATTTCCTTTTTTTCTATTTTAGATACCTGGAAGGGTGGGGAAAAATAAGAATCTCCAGAGAGGTGCAGTACTGGGAAATTCTGTTGATGATGGTGAAGAATTCAAATTCTAGTTCCCCTTTGTTTTCTTTTCTTTCTTGTAAAATTTGTCTCAAGCAACAATAATATTGGCATATTCATTGTTTGTGATCCTATTATCCATCCTCTCTTAGGTCTTAGGTTTTGGGGCACCAAGGAGAAGTACTGCATGAAATAAATCCAGAACTGATAGTCTTGTTTTGTTTTGTTTTTTTCACTTTATCCTCACCAAAGGATATGCTTATTGATTTGAGAGCAAGAGGAAGAGGGGCGGTAGAGGGGAAAGAGAGAGATATATCAATTGGTTGTCTCCTATATGAACCCCAACTGCGGCTCAAACCCACAACCATTTGGTGTATGGGACAGTGGTCCAACCAACTGAGCCATCTGGCCAGGGCTAGAGCAGATATTCTTAATTAATAAAGACAGTTACAGTTTCAGTTCAATAATTATTGAATATTCAGTACATGTAAGGCCCAAAAAGGACGCTAACTACAAAGAGCTCAGTCTAACTGAAGGGGGACCTGTATGCCAAACAAAGAATGTCCTTGCTGCTCTTGGTTAAGACAATTGTGTACATGAAAGCTGGCCCCTGCTAATTTATTGCCATTCCTTTTACTGTGGAAATATTAATATTTAAAACAGGAAAGAACATATTTTTACCCGAAGATTATAATAAAGTTTGTGAAAGTATTTTTAACCTCAGTAGTCCCACAGTTGGAGAAAAGATCTAAATGTTAGGCTGAATATTTAGAAATAAAATTATCTAGATTTGAAGAAAAGTCTATAGGGAAGATATGGCCATAGGCTAGTGCATTGGATTTCTGTTGCTGTGTAACAGATTACCAGAAACTTAGCTGCTTAAAACAACACATGCTTATTATCTGACCATTTCTGGGCTTAGCTGGGCAGTCTGCCCAAGGTCTCACAAGGCTGCAGAAAAGGTGTCAGCCTAAGCCAGGTTCTTGTAGAGCCTTAACTGGGAAAGGGTTGGCTTCTAAGGCCTCTCAGATTGGTGGAGAATTCATTTCCTATGACTATAAAGATTCATGGCAAGTTGCTTAGTCAAAACCAGCATAGGAAGACAGCAAGATGTGTGCTACACCCTTAGGTGATCGTGTGAATGCAGTCATGTACATTCTATTACCATTGTTGCATTCCTTTGTTTAGAATCAAATCTCAGGTGCTCCCCTTACTCAGGAAAGAGGGGAATTACCCAAAGTTGTGACTACTGGGAGCAGAGATCATTGGGGCTTCCTTAAAGTCTGCCTCTCCATCCTCAATCTGGACCCTGGGGGATTCCCCAGATTGGCATTCCTTTGTCTCACATCATCATCTCAGGACTTCCACCAAGATGGAGGCGTAGGTGGAAACACTGCCTTCTCACACAACCAAGTTTAAAGACGACAAAGTTTTAGTAACAAAAACGCAGCCAAAACACTGAAAATTGAACTATACAGAATCTGACAACAACGAAACATTCAGCCAGACAGGTAAGAGGGGCAAAGCCAGCAGCGGAGCGGTAGAGCAGGAAAGATCCCCCCACTCAGGTGTGCAGGCAGCCATGGGCAGATCCCAGGTGTGGGTAGCAACAAGCGGACCCAGTGAGGGTGCACGGCAACAGGCAGACCGAGGTCACACATTCAGATAAACCAGTGAAGGAGCGAGACAGACCGCAGAGGCCCCAGCCTGTGAAGCAGTAGAGGGGACCGCTATTGCCCCTCTTTGACCCCTATTTGTACTTCTTAATCCCCTCACCTCTTCACCCATTTCTCCACATACCCCTCCCATCTGGCAGCCATCAAAATGCCCTCCACATCCATGATTCTGTCCCTGTTCTTTGCCTTATTTTTTAGTTTCAATTGTTGATATAGATGTATTGCTGTTTTATTGTTCATAGTTTTGATCTTAAATAAGTCCCTTTAACATTTCATGTAATAATGGTTTTGTAAACTCCTTTAGTTTTTTCTTGTCTGGGGAGCTCTTTATCAACCCTTCAATACTAAATAATATCTTTACTGGGTAGATCAATCTTGGCTGTAGGTCCTTGCTTTCATGATTTTGAGTATTTCTGGCCAGTCCCTTTTAACCTGAAAGTTTCATTTGAGCAATCAGCTGACAGTGTTATGGGAACTCCCCTGTAGGTAACTAATAGCTTTTCTCTTGCTGCTTTCAAGATTCTTTATATTTAACCTTGGGCATTTTAATTACAATGTATCTTGGAGTGGGCCTCTTTGCATCCATTTTGTTTGGGACTCTGTGCTTCCTGGATTTGCATGTCTATCTCCTTCACCAAAAATTAGGGGAGTTTTCTTTTTTTTTTTAATTTTTTTATTGATTATGCTGTTACAGTTGTTCTATTCCCCCTTTCATTCCCCTCCACCCTACCCCCCATCTCCACCATTACCCCCCCTTTAGTTTATGTCCATGTGTCTCAAGTTCTTTAGATTCTATATTTCCCATGCTATTCTTGCCCCCCTTCTATTTTCTATCTACTGTCTATGCTACTTATTTTCTGTACCTTCTCCCCCCTTCTCCTCCTCCCACTCCCCTGTTGCTAAACCTCCTTGAGATCTTCATTTCTATGTTTCCACTCCTGATCTAGCTGTCCTTTTAGTTTGCTTTCGTTTTAGGTGTGGTTGTTAATAACTGTGAGTTTGTTGTCTTTTCACTGTTCATGTTTCTTTAACTTCTTTTTCTTAGATAAGTCCCTTTAACATTTCATATAATAAGGGCTTGGTGATGATGAACTCCTTGAATTTGATCTTATCTGAGAAGCACCTTATCTGTCCTTCCATTCTAAATGAAAGTTTTGCTGGATAGAGCAATCTTGGATGTAGGTCTTTGGATTTCATGACTTGGAATACCTCTTTCCAGCCCCTTCTTGCCTGTAAGGTCTCTTTTGAGAAATCCACTGACAGTCTGATGGGGACTCCTTTGTAGGTGACTGTCCCCTTAGCTCTTGCTGCTTCTAGGATTCTCTCCTTCATTTTAATCTTGGCTAATGTAATGATGATGTGCCTTGGTGTGTTCCTTCTTGGGTCCAACTTCTTTGGGACTCTCTGAGCTTCCTGGATTTCCTAGAAGTCTATTTCCTTTGCCAGATTGGGGAAATTCTCCTTTATTATTTGTTCAAATAAGTTTTCCACTGGTGGCTGTGCCTTTCCCCCTTCCGGTACCCCTATAATTCGGATGTTGGAGCATTTAAAGATGTCCTGGAGGTTCCTAAGACTCTCCTCATTGCTCTGAATTCTTGCTTCTTGACTCTTTTCTGTTTGGCCATTATTTGCTTTCTTCTGGTCCACTCCATTGATTTGAGTCCCAGTTTCCTTTTCATTGCTATTGGTGTCCTGTGCAATTCCATTCATTTCAATTAGTTTCACCTTCATATATTTGTCTAATTTGTGGCTATAATCAACCAGTTCTGTGAGGATCCTGATCACCAGTGTTTTAAACTGTGGGTCTGAGAGTTTTGCTATTTCTTCATTGCTTAGATCTATAGGTTCTGGGGCTTTGAGATCTTCTTGCGCCATTTTTGGTCTGTTCTCGCCCTTTAAGTGTGAGAAGCAGCGCCTTGGACTCCCAGGTCGCTGGGTTGTGACACTGTATGTGGGGGCGTGGTCAGAGCGGGGAAATGGCGACCCCCTCTGCTGTTTCTCACAGCTGGGTGAGGATCAGCGCCTTAGGCGGTTCACCTGGGCCGGGCCACTCAGAGTCGCTGGGTTATGACACTGTATGTGGAGGTGGGGTCAGAGCAGGGAAATGGTGGCGCCCTCCACTGTAGCTTGCCACGGGGACCCACCCGGCCCCCGGTCCAACCGACCACTCCCTTGCCTGTCCGCCCGCGCACAAATGCGTGACCACAGTCAACACGCAGCCCCGCTGCCCCGCTGTCCCCCCCGCGGTCACTCGCCTAGTCGCTCGCTCAGTCGCTCACTAGGTCCAACCCTGCGCCTGGATTCCGCGCATCTAGATTCCACGCCTGAGTCCGTCTGACCAGACCTCCTGTGCAAACCCGCTTCACCAGCCGCTGGTTTCGCCCCTTACTGGTCAGGGTGAAGAATTTGTTGTTAACGGACTTCCAAAAAGTTCAATTTTCTGTGTTCTGGCTGTGTTTTCTGTTGCTAATATTTAGTTGTCTCTAAACTTGGTTGTGTGAGAAGGCACGGCACATCCACCTATGCCTCCATCTTGGCGGAAGTCCCTCGGGAGTTTTCTTTCATTACTTTTTCAAATAGATTTCCAATTTCTTGTTCTTTCACTTTTTTTTAGCACCCCTATGATGAGAAAGTTTGAACACTTGAAGTTGTCCTGGAGGCTTCTTAAGCTGTCCTCATTTTTTTGGATTCTTTTTTTCTTGTTCTGATTCTTTTTTGCTTCCTTATGTTCCAAATCATTGATTTGATTCTTGGCTTCCTCTACT